CCCTATCACGTCCTTCGTGTGAAGGTGACCCTTCTGTTCTCCTCACACAGCAAAGCTCGGGGACGTTCAGGCTCTTTGCATCAGAGGCCAGCCTCGGCCTTGTTAGTGCGACCCAGCAGGGCCGGTTCCTGGCCCAGTCCCGGGGACCCACCCACCTCCATTTGGGACCAGCCCCTTGGTCCAAGCGCCGGGAGACCCTAGCTGCGTGGGCACAGCAGCCCAGGCTGTCCGGGCGTGGACATGACCACTCCTGCGGCCAGAGGGAAGAGATGCACCTGGTCACCTCCATCGTGCTGTCCCCGAGGGACGAGCCCATACTGAGCTGCCCCCAGCAAGTCGCTGGGGGCCCCTGACAACAGGGTCTCGAGCTGAAACCACATCTGCTGAACACTGGGATGAAGCCCCAGGCCCGGTGCTCTGCGGCACGGTGAGCTCCCCCGCTCACGTGAGCACAGACCCGCTGTCCTGGGTCTTGACCCAGGGCCGAGTGGCCCCTGGAGCTGTCAGCACCAGGGACTGGGACGAGCACACAGGAGTCTCCCCGCTCCCAGTCTGCCCGCCCCAGTCCCCAGCTCCCTCCTTCCTCCCCTGCCCCTCCTGCACGCACCAGGCCCCACACCTTTAGGCCACAGCAGCAGTTAGGAGGCCACTGCGGGGGGTGGGTGGGTAGGGGGTTGGGGAGGGGGTGTGGGGGTGTGGAGGGGTTGGGGGGGGAATACTATCAAGCACAGCGCTGCCCCAGTGTCGATTTTTAATATTTGCTGTTATAACTGACAACTACATCATCTTTATATTAGACTCACACCTTATAACCACAGTCTCTATTATTCTTGAGCATGATGTGATTATTTATAATTCATAATGTAATCGTGTGTGTCCAGTGAGAAAACTAGTTTATAAAATTTTTACAGCTTCTCTGAGCCATTATACCAACGTGAGTGAACAGGGAGAAGCAAATGCAGGAGGCCAGGAGTGCTCGGACCCAACCTTGCCGTCACCTCCTGTCGGGCGATTTAGCCTGCCTTTTCCTGGGGGGGCATCGTGCCGTCACGCCCGCCGCAGGGGCTGTTCCCACCCCGGGCACCCTCAGACCCGCTCCAGCTCTGGCTTTCACGCCCACAGGAGGCCCCAGGGCTTCTGTCTGCACCACAGGACCAGCCTTTGGCGAGCCTGCGCTCCCGCATGTCCCAGGGCACTTCTTCAGCACGCATGCGCACGCGCACACACGTGGGCACATGGGAGGCATGCACACAGCACCTGCACTCACATGCACCTGCATGTACACACACGGGCAGGCGTGCACACACACAACGCACCCGCACACACTGGCAGACACGCACATGCACACACGCTCAGGCAGACACACATGGGCACGTGCAGGCATGCATGCCGAGCGACCCGGTGCTCCAGAGCATGCCGATGCTTTTCTGTTCCGATTTCATGGAAAAAACGCCAAGGCCCCGAAGGCTGTGCCGGCCTCCTAGACACCCCCTCTCTGGGGCAACCCAAGGACCAGGAAAGCGCAGGACCTGCTCTTCAGAGAGAGAGTTGAAGGGGTGAGGGTGGGGCCTCCGGGCTCACGTCCCTGCCGTCCCAGGAGGACACGCTCAGGCTGCCCCCCCCGGCGGCCCTCGGCCCTGCCTCCGCCGAGGACTCCAGGCCCTGCCGGCTCCCGCCAGCCGCCGGGCCGCCCTCCCCAGTCTCTGCTGCTCCGAGTCCACGTTCCCTCTGCCGCCACCACTTTGTGCTCCCCGAGACCTGGCTACCTGGGAGGCGATGGGACCCCGTCCCTGTTCCCCGCAGCCCTCAGCTTGTCTGCACCGTGCCCGGCACCCACGCACCGCCCCGGCGGCCTCCCCTGAGGCGGGGGGCTCGAGGTCACCCACTGTCCCCGCCAGGGTGTCGGGCCTCAGAGCCTGCAGCCTCGTGAATAGCTTCAGGGCGTCTCTAAGGGCTCCTCTCTCCCCAGCATCTCTCCCTGCTCCCCACTCCTCTGGCCTCTGGGCGTCTTAGCCCACCTGGGTGCTCCAGCCTGGACGAAGGTCTGTCTAGACCCCGGACCCTGGGCCCACCCCTCCAGGCCGCGGCCTGCCAGGCCCCAGCCGCTTGTCCCGCCGTCCTGGCCACAGGCCCACTGCCTTCTCCGACCAGATTCCGGCCCTCGGGCACGCACCTTGTCTGGTGCGTTCTAGCTGTGTCTGGAGCTGCTGTGGGGTGGGGGCCGCAGGCGAGTCCAGCAGGCAGGGTCCTGGCCCCCGGGGGACGCGAGGGCGTGGAGCATGAGCCCCGGGGCGCGCGACTCACCTGGGGCCTCAGCAGGGCTTCACCTCCCATGTGGCTGGCGACTCTCGGGCCCGCCCCAGGCTGGACGCTCACTGCCCTCTCCTTTCGTCCTAGGGAGCGGAGCAGGACCTGTGGGGCCGCGGCCCTGAGGCCCAGCATGCAGGCCTTCCTGGCCCCCGGAGCACTGTCAGGTAACCATCCACAGCCCTGGCCCCCCCCCCCCCGCCCCAGGGCGAGGGCCATGCCCTGGGCACCCAGCACTGCCTCCTCGCAGCCCCGGAGGACGACTGCACGTCCACTCCGAGACCCCGGCCTTGCCAGTCAGGGGCGCTGCCTCCCCCAGCGGCCCAAGCCCAGCAGCCCGTCCGCAGGGACCCCCCCTTCCTGGCCACTCCAGCCCCGGCTGCCCAGCCGAGTGGCCCATGCCTCCTCCCCGCCCTGCGGCAGCTGGTGCCCGAGCCCAGGCCGCCCACTCTCAGGGCAGGCCCCAGCCCACCGCCAAGGCCCCAGTGCCACTTGCCCCTGCACACCGTGAGCCACCTTGTCCCGAAGGCCCCACCGGTCACCCCCCTGCTCCGCCACCAGGCCAGTCTGTGCTCCCCAGGGGCTCCCGGGGCCCTCTCCCCGGCTCTGCGTGACCCCATGGCTTTTAATGTCTCTCCTGGAGCTTGGGCTCTCTTCTTCACTCACGTGTCTGTCCATCCCGCCCAGACTGCCCCCCCAGGCCCCCGGGACAGGCGCCCCCGCCCCACGGCATCTCCCGCCGCACCGCTGCCCCGTCCGCCACAGAGGCTGAGTCTGGGCAGTTTACTGTAAAAACAAGGGCTTTTTGGATTTGATACTAATTTTCCTGCCTTCCTGCCTCTCATTTTTTAGAAACGTGATTTCAGAACTAGCCAGTGTGGGCAGGGCCGCAGGGAGCGGGGCCCCCGTGCCGTGGGGGACACGGGCCGGCTGCGGGGGAGCGGCCGGGGCCTTGCCGGAGAGGGATAACATCCGGCGCCCGCCGTCCTGGCGCGGTGCCCCCACAGCCCGGGGGACGGGACGGACCTCGGCAGCTGGTTCACGGTGGCCCAGTGGCCCTCGGACTCTGGAGGGTGCATGAGGCGGGTCTGAAAGGGAAAGTGCAGCGGCTTGTGTCTGGGGGTACAGAGCGCTGCGGTGGGGCCAGTGGGGTCGCTCTCCCTGGGAGTGGGAGGCCTGTCTGCCCCGCCGGAGGGGCTTGGCGGTACGCCGGCCGGGGAGTCGCCTGTGCAGAGGCCCTGGGCTGGAGAGGAGTGGGCTTGGCTGAGGGTCTGACGGAGCCTGGCCAGGGGGGACAGGGGTGGCGGCTGGGAGGAGGGGCTGGGCCTCTCATGGCTGTGGCAGCCACGGGCGTGTCCGTCAGAGGAGGCAGGATCTGGCTGCTTCCAACCCGAGCTTGTGAGCACAGCTCCGGGCGCGAGAGAGATGGCTGCCGGCAACCCGCCCTGCTGTGGGCTCAGGACGCTCGCACCGGGGCCTGTGGGTGTTTGTGCGGCGCCTGTGAGCCAGGCCCCGGGACGCCTCCGGCCCCCTCCAGGCAGGAACACGGAGGACACCCCCCCTTCTTGTGGTTCCATGGCAACGTCATATTAAACTCACACTCTGTACTTGGGGTGTCTGCAGCAGAAAGGACTTCTGGGCCTAACGGCCCTGCCCGTGACCGTCTGTTACTAAAGCTGTGCTCATGCAGTCGCGGGCGGGAGGCGGAGGGAAATGGAAAGTCTGTGGTTGGGCTGAAATGTGTCGCTACAAGGCAGTTCACGGGGGCGAAACCAGGTAACTCCTTGCATCAAGGGCTGCTTGTTCCCAAGAGCCACAGAGGAGGCAGAGGACAGATGGTGACCCCAGAATAAGTTCATAGTGCGGCCTGGGGCTGTGGTCCGAGACCCACATGGTCTCTGAGGCCGGGGCATCCACATGCCAGGCCACGTGGGGCCCTGTTGCTGTTCTTACCCACTTTTAAGAAGTGACGTGAATTTTGAACAAAGGAATTAGTATAGTTAGACTATTTGGGTAACACTTTTATGTCTGTTAGGACTTTCAGTTCAGAAGAACAGGAAACAAATTGGAGTGCAGAAAAGGGAATCTATTGGCCTAAATAACTGGAAAGGATAAGCTTCAGGCACAGCTTGATCCAGGTGCTCAGGCGCTGCGATGGGGTTCCTGTTCTCCGGCTGTGGAACTTGTCTCTGCGTCCCTTTCACTTGCTCTGTGCTCAGATGGGTTCTTCTCCCCTAATGGCAGATGCTGCCACCCCCTAGTCTCTTGTCCTCAACTTTCCAAGTGTGGTGGGTGAGAGGGCATCGTCCAGCCTGCAACACGAGCCCAGTATGTCCTTCTTCGTGGGCGGGGTTGGGTCATGTTCCCTCTCCAAGAACCACTGCCCCCGGGGGCGGGCCCGGTTCCAGCCTGAGTGTGTCCCTGTGGCCGCAGTGGGCCTGAAGGCTGGGGGGGGAGTGGTAGGCCATGGTGGCCGCTGTTCACCCCATGGAAGCAGGCCCTGCGGGAATCCGGCCCACGCTTCTCCGCAGGGAGGGGCTGAAGAAGGGCCGGCCGTGCAGACATCCCCACGTGGTCCGCAGCCGCCTTCTCGGCCCTTGGCTTGCAGGTGAAGTCGGACGATGCCTGGCCTAGCCGCGCGCTTGCCCTCGTGACCCGAGATCGCGACTCGGCGGTGAAGGAGACGACACTCCGGGGCAAGCTGGAGAACCTAGAGCAGGTCCTGCAGGTAGGGGCTCTGCTTCGGGGGCCTGCGGGGCGGGGCTGGGGCTGGGGCCACAGCCCAGAGGCTGGGTGCTGGGGCTAGGCGCTGGGGGCGCCGGGCCCCGGGCAAGGGAGGCGCCAAAGCGGGGGCGTGGCCTGGACCCAGGTGGAGCCTGGCAGTGCCTGCGGCTGCTGTGCTTGGTGACCGGGAGACCCAGTGCGGACGCCAGGGCCTGAGCGGGGAAGGGGGCCCGCCGGGGTGGTGGGGGGCCGTCTGATCGAGGGGTAGGAATTTTTGTGGGGAGGTTTTATGCAATCAGCAGTTGTGGGGGTCGTGGGGAGTCTGCCTCGGTGACTCCGCGGGGTCACTTAGTGGCTGGGCAGCCCTGGGGACGCCACCTCCCCGGGCCCCGGCTTCCTCCTGTGACTGAGAAGGCAACCTGACCCGCCTCGGGCGCTGTGGCATCAAATCATTAAACAAAATCGTTTCAAGCAACCTGGATAAGGGCCATTGAAACCGACCAGCTGCTTGGGGCTGCCTGGTGTGTCAGCGCCCCGAGAGGGCTGGGGCTAAGTGGGGGGCACCCGCCGCCCTCCCCTGCCCACCCAGCGCGTCTGTGGGCAGTTGTCTGGAAGGTGGGCCACCCTGGCGCCCCCGCCGGCCTCCTCATCACTCACACCGGGCTTTACCAGCCGCGCTGCCCGCCTCCTCCCTCGGGCCTGGCTGGCAGCCGCGAAGACGTGGTTGTGGGACGGCCTTGGTGCCGGGGGGCCAGGAGAGGCCAGCGTGCAGGAGCAGGGCAGGCGGGGAGGGCCCTGTGGAGGCGCCGTCCGCCGGCAGAGTCTGGGTTTTGTGCTGAGTGTCATGAACCCGTGGGAGTTGAGCGCTGTGAGCAGAGAGGTGGGACAGCCAGGGTTTCCAGAGCAACAGAACCCTGGAGAGAGGGAGAGAGGAGGCGTCTGCATTTTTGCAGGAATGAGAGGAGCTGACCGGGACCTCCCGGAAGCCAGGAAGCCCCCTAGGCCAGGCCTGAGAATTCAGAGGCTGATGATTTCAGTCCGGACCTAAGTCGGAAAGCCCCAGAGCCAGGAGCTGCAGTCCCAGGGCCGGCGAGTGTCCCCCCTCCACCTTTGGTCCTATTTTGGCTTGTTCTTTTTCCCATCTGCGGGTGGGGGCGCCACCCTGCCAGGGAGGGCATCTGACTTACTCAGTTCACAATCCAATGCCGAGCTCGTCCAGAAACACCCAGAAATGTCGTCTTCCCAGCGCTGGGCATGTACCCTCGCCCGTCACCTCACGGGTGGCTGTGGGGGTTCTGCTCTGCTGGGGCCACAGGCAGGCCGCACGCAGGAGGTCTGGCGCCCCAGGGGGAGGCCTTGGGGCCGGCTGGGGGTGGCGTGAATGTGGAGGGAGGGTGACCCCGGGGAGGCTTTGGTGCCAATGGAGTCATTTTCTGAAGAGTGGACACTGAGTCAGGAGGGCCGGGACTCGTGAATGGCCGCGTGGCTGGGGGAGCTGCGTGGATGGTGGCGTGACCCCCCAGCGGGGGGACGTGGGCCCACTGCGTGCCTGCTCCGTGCAGCCATGGGGGCGGCGGGCAGGCGCGTGGGGAGGGGTGCAGGGGGAACCCCGCTTGGAACTTGGGCCTGCAAATGGCAGTTAAGCCCAGGAGGACCAGCAGGCGGGGATACGGCTGCAGCAGTGGCCACTCCGGCACCCAGTGGCCAGGCGGGCGGGGCCCCGGCCAGGAGCAGCGGGCGCTCAGGTGGGAGGGCCCTTGGGTAGGGGCTGCCGGGGGTGGGGTCCCTGGCCTGAGACGTGGCCATGGGCCCGGACAGCAGGGGGCTCTGTGGTCATCTCGAAGAGGGTTTCAGCCATAGGAGGGGGGTCAGCCTGGACCAGCCGGAGGAGCGGGGGGTGCTGAGGGTGGGCGGGGCAGCGTCTTCCCCCGGCGGGCCAGAGGCAGCGCGGGGAGCCAGGTCTGAGAAGAGGGACGCCTCTGCGCACCAGCTGGTCAGGACATGGGGGCAAAGACCGTCCTCCAGCTACGTGGGAGGCCACACGGGTCCTGGACAGGGCTGAGAGCAAAGGGGTGCACTCGCTGGGTGAAGGGCAGGTGAGGCAAGGAAGTGTGGGTCTTGGCGGAAGGTCGCTGGCGAGCTCTGGCTCTCCCTGGAGGGGAAGCAGAGGGGCGTCTCCCTGGTGGTCAGCCTCCGGGTGAGTGGCTTCCCCTGCCCGGCTGGGTCACCTGCAGGTGAACTGCACCTGTGGACACCCCGGGGAAGGCAGAGGAGAGCGGTTTGCTTACGAGCTCTCAGGTCTGAAAACCACTGAGCCGTTTATCCTCGGCTTCGGGAGACCCCGTACGGGGAGCTGAGGATGGAGGCCCATCAAGGGGCCGCTGGAGGGAGGGCAGCCTGAAGGGACAGGCGAGAAGGACCTTGACGCTGGAAAAGCTCCCGCTGACCTGTCCTCCCAATGAACCCCAAGCCCGGGGCCCCTGGGGCAGCATGCCCTGAGCGTTCCTGCCACCTCCACACCATTGGGGCTCACCAGGCCGGGGCGCTGAGGGCTCTGCCCCCCATTGCGTCCATCCATCTACTCCACAGACTCCGGCCCCTCCTCAGCTCTGAGCCCAGGCACTCCCTCCTGTCCCCCCAGTTAATGCTCCTGATGAGCCCCTCGAGGGGCTGGTTTTCTCCCCCCTCCAACAACTTCCTCCCAAAGCTACATAAAGATCGCACAGGCCTGGGCCGCACCCCCTTCAGGACACACAGAAGCACAACAAAGAGCAGGAACAATAGTGTAGTTAAGCAGCTGCACCGCAGTCCGTGCGCCCCAGGCTGGCTGCCCGGCCTCTCTCAGGGCCGTGGCTGTTGACACGGGGCTTCATGCCGAGAGCAGCCGGCAGCTAGGTGTCCCCCAGCTTTGGGGCCAGACACTGGGGAGGCCTCCGGACACCGCGGCCTCGTGCTGTGTGACCGTGAGTGGCCTCAGCCTCTCCGCGCCTGTGTGCCTGGGCCTGGGGGGAGCCAGAAAGCAGTGTCTGCAGGGAGGGGGACCAGGACCCTGCTCACCCAGTGTGCTGGGCAGGGGTGGGAGGGGCCCCCGCGCGTGCACAGGGCCTGTGGGGCTGTGTGGCCAGGCCTGGCCAGCGAGGGCCGCGTGGTGGCGGCTGGTGTGCTTTGGAACCTCGTCAGCCCTCGAGAGGATGGAGAAGAGACCTCGCTCCGTGGCCTGGGAGCAGGTCGGAGGGTGCCCCTGTCTCCCCGGCCCCGGCCCCAGCCCGGGGGACGGCTGTTCTTGTGAGCTGGATGCGGCGCCATCTTTGTGGACACCCCCCCAAGGGGGTGGGCGCTTTCCTGTGAGGTGGCCGCGCTTCTCCCGGCTGCCCGGGCCGTGCTCGGGACACTTGCGCTCTGCACCCGCAGCGTCCGGCTCCGGAGGGGCTGCGCGGGTGACCCGCGGGCGGCTGGAGAGGAGCTGCCGGCCGTGCCCCTCCCTGCCGCAGTCCCAGGGCAGGCAGCACCGGCTGATGGGGGCGCCCTCGAGGAGGACCCCAGTTCTGCTGCAAAGCCAAGAGCAGAGCAGGATCTGGTGCCCTGAGAGGCCCCGCCTGGGGGCATGACACGTCCTGGGGCTCGCAGTGGCCTGTGACCGCGTCTCCGGCTCGTGGATTTCGGGCCGTGGGGTGGTGGCTGAAGTCGCGGCAGGCAGCGGGCCGTCTCCGCAGCAGCCCCGGAGCAGGGCCAGCGGGCCAGGGAGGGGCCGGGCCTGGCGGCAGCGGTGGACACGGGTCCTCGCTATCTGCCTGTGCCATCCCCACACTGCAGCGGCAGCGGAAGTGGGTAAAGGGGCCGGCGGGCACCCCTTCTGTGTTCCTGGGGTCCTCTGCAACAGCAGGGACCCAGCGCCGTCTGCGGGGTAGTTGCCGCCTCCACTGACAAGACGGCGGAGGAGCCTGGGGCTCAGCTGCTCCGCGAGAGCCGGGACAGGCGGGGGCGCCGGGGACGCCCCTCACTGCAAGCGCCCCTCACCTCGTGCCCGTGCCGGGGGCTTTCTCAGGAGAGCGGCCTCTGGGGCAGAGGGTGGGTGGCCAGCAGAGAAGGCGGAAGAGCAGACTCTGCTCCTGCCCCTTGCCCAGCCTGGAGCGTAAGGATAAGGCGAGAGAACAAGTGCCCCAACCGTGCGTGAGGCAGACACAGCAGGTTCAAGCCCAGGGGTCACGGCAAGCACCCCCAGTGTTGACGGGCCGCGCCCCCAGAGGCCAGGTCCCAGGTGAAGTTGTGGCTACCTCGTCCGGTCTTTGAAGGATCCAACTTTTATGTAAAAACCGGATGTTCAGAAATGTCTGCCACAAGGACATTTGGGTGTGTATTTCTTTATACGGCAGGAGGGAATGGAAGTTGGGCTCCCAGCTCAGCGCCCGCCCCCAGGGGTGGCCTGGGGGAGTCATTGGGGGTGGGGGCACTGGGGGTCAGTGCAGATGGCCCGGGGCTCTGGGAGGCCTCCCTGTGGGGGACAGGCCGGAGTGGTGGGCAGCCCCCTCGCCCCAGGAGGTGCACCTGCTGCCGGGTTCTGGGACCTGGGTGGGGAAGGGCCACTGGGGCGCAGGTTCCACCCGCACTCCCCAGAACAGGCCGCCCTGGCCTAAAGCTGAGATGGGGTCTCTGGAGAGCGCCAGGTGACCGAGGGCCTCTGAGCCGCGGGCCCAGCTGGGCGAGCCCCTGCCTGCCTGCCTGCGCCGCCACGGCCGCCCCACTGTCGCCGCGGGGAGTCGGGACCTTGGTGGCCGCCAGAGCGACCAAACCTGGCGCCGGCAGAGCCTGGGCTGCTGCTGCCACAGCTGGGAACCGGAGCGCGAGGAACCTGCTTGGCAGAGACACTGGCCTTTGCTCACGTGTGTGCTGCTTTTACAGCCTGAAGTGGAAGCGGGAGCCCGCTCAGCTACGGGGGTGCTCCCCAGATTCCTGCCGCTGCCCCAGGAAAGCCTGGGAGCAGTTGGGGTGCCCCCTGGGGTGGGGCGGAGGAGTTGGCACGGGAGGGGCTGACCTGCCTGTTCCATATCCCTGTCCTGTCCCCACAGCACATGCGAGAGGCCGCGGGGCGGCGACAGCAGCTGGAACTGGAGCATGAGCAAGCCCTGGCCGTGCTCAACGCCAAGCAGCAGGAGATCGACCTTCTGCAGAGGGTGAGCTGTGGGCAGGTGCCTGGCCGCAGGGGTGCTGGGTGCAGGGGAGGGTGGGCGCAGGGTGTTGGGTGCAAGGGGAGGGATGGGTGGGATCCAGGGTGTTGGGTGCAGGGAACGGCTGGGAGGGCACGTGGATATTGGGCGCAGGGGTGAGGGAGGCTGGGGGGCGGCAGCAGCGGCCTTTCTCACAGGCCAGGCTGCCCTCTCCTCCTGGGCTGGGGAGGGTCCCAAGCAGTCGTGCTCGTGGCCGAGGCTGCGGAGCAGTGGGAGGTCCTGGGGCTGCTGCAGGGCGGGGAGGGAGCGCTCCGTGCGGGACTGGCCGGCTGTGAACCGCGAGCCTCCGGACGGCGTCCATGGAGACAGGACACTCGCACTCGATTCTGCCATGTGCCCGGGAGCGGGCGCTGCAGGAAACATGGGGACCGGTTCGGAGGCTCCTGGGGCGTGCTGGGGACAGGGCCCTGGTGGGGGCCCTGGTGGGGGCCTGGACTGGCCAAACATCCAGTGGTGGCGGCGGCAGCTTGGCCACGCCCGGGGTGGCGGTCATGGGGCAGAGGTTTGCTCCTCTGCGGGGGGTGCTGTGGGGTCTCGGAGAGTGCCTGGAGCCCCATGGGGGGTCCCACGGAGGGATGGAGGAAGGGGGAGGAGGCCAAGGGTGCGCTTCAGAGTGTGGGCTCGGTCCTGAGGCCCCGGCGAGGAACACGCCCGTCCTTGCTCCTCGGCCCTGTCCTCCCCTGTCCTCCTGCCTCCCGCGGGCACGAGGACCCTCCTGTGGAGCCCAGACCTGGCGGCCTGCATCAAGGTCCCCCTCGTTTCCTTCCCGAGGCCGGGGTCCCCACCCCACCGCCTGTCCTCCCCTGGGGCCCACCCAGTGAGGGCTCCTCACGGAGGGCCAGAGGGACACGAGCAGAGGCTCCTGCTGGCCGGCGCCCTCCCCCCGGCCGTGCGGCCCCGTGTCCCTCTGCCGCCGTGCGGCCCCGTGGCCGCCCCCGCGGGCTGAGCAGAGCAGCGCCGGCCATCGCCCTGACACGTAGCCAGCGGGGGCTGAGATGGGAACAAGATGTGGGCGCGGCCCTGCCCCGTGGCCACGCCTCCCCCGGGCTGGGCGAGCGTGGCCATGCCTCCCGGCGGGCGAGCGGTGTGAGTGGCCGGCCGGGCCCCAGGTGGCGGCAGCTGCGTGTCCAGCGGCCACCCGGCCTTCGCGGGCCGTCCTCCCTGCCCCGCGCGCTCTGCCACACGTGCTTCCCGATGCCTGACAAGCGGCTCTGCCCCTGACTGGCCCGGAGCAGCCCCGGGCCTCGGGCCTGCGCACGCCGGCCGGGATGTGGGTGCTCTGGGTCCCGCTGGCTCTGGGGAGGCGGCGTCTCCACAAAGGTGCATCCTCCCTGGAGCTGGCCGCGGCGGCGAGCTTGGGCTGTTGCTTGGATCTTGCACGAACTCAGGACTGCCAGTCCCGACTGCTAATTTTAACAGCCGGCTCTGATGGCCCAAGCGGCCGCCTGCGCGCAGCCTCGGAGCTGCACCCGGTGCTCCCTTGCCGCGGACCCGCCAGCTGGCCCCCCCCAGCCTCCGCTGCTGTGTCTCTGCGGGCCGTGGGTGTCGCCTGCCGGCTGTGGGTGTCGTCCACAGGCCCCCGGGCTTGTCTGCCCCGTCTCAGGTCTATTGTTGCTGTTTGTGGCGGGGAGGAGCCCCTGAAGCCCTTGGAGCCGCTGCTGCTCCCAGCCTCGGGGTGGAGGGCGTGTGAGCGCAGGAACCGCTGTCTGGCTGCGCTGGCGCCCAGGGCCGCCCCCTCTGCGCAGCCGGGAGCAGGGGGTGGGGGGTGGGGTGGGCAGGAGGGCAGGAGAGGTTCCCCTGCCGGTCTCTGCAAGAGGCTCCTTCCCATGTGGGGACACTCCCTGCAGCCTGGGCTGCGCCTGCTTCAGCCGGCTGGCTCCTGGCGCCCCTTGAGAGAGGCAGGTGTGGCCGGGAGACGACGTCTCAGGCTTCGGGGGTGCCACGGTGTCTCGAGGCCCCCGAGGCAGCCAGCCGGACACCACGAGTGCTGGTGCCCTAGGAGTGGCCTGGGCGGGCGCGGCTGGCCAGGGGTCCCAGCCCCTGCGGGAAGGGCCACTTCCTTTCACAGCGCCCCGCTGTCCACCAGGACCGGTGCCGGGCAGTAGAGCGCGAGGGGCCTGCAGCTGTGCCGTGACTGCGAGTCCAGATGAGCTGGGTCCAGGCCTGAGCTGGCCGGGGCCCTCTCCCCGCCTCCCCTGCCCCCTGCTGGCTATCAGGCCCAGCGGCTCCCCCGCTGGGCTGGCTTTGCTTTGGGCCCTGCAAAGGTCCTGCCCCTCGTGCAGCCGTGGTTGCCCCCACTCCCCCACGCCCACTGCCATCCAGCAGGCAGTGCCCTCCCCGGCGCCTCTGCTCTGAGTGCTGCAGTCGGGGCCTGCACCCCAGACTCATGGGCCACACCCCAGGCTCATGGGCCGTGGGTGTTACTGCTCTGCGGCGGGCCGCCAGGCTCCGGATGGATGGACCACGATGGGCACCGGGGGACGCCAGGCTCCGGGACACACTGCGGGACACACTGCGGGACACACTGGGATTGCTGTGGCCGTGCAGCCCTGAGATGCCTTCGGGAAAGGGGGTGTCGCTGTGGGGGGCAGAGAGCTTTGCTTTGAGGCCCGGAGAGGGTGGCCTCTGTGGCAGGCTAGCCGCTGAGGGCGGGTGAGGGGCTCTGGACCCCCAGCCCGGCCCCTCCTCTGGCTGCTGGGCCTCAGCTGACCTTGGGCTGCTCGGGGCCATGTTCCCGGGGCCAGGTGCAGTTTCTGAGGTGCTGAGGGCACAGGGAGGGGGCGGTGGTACCGGAGGCTTCCGGAGTCCCCGCCAGGAGCAGTCAGAGCCCCCCCGCATGGCCAGGCCCAGGCCGCCTGCTCCCCGCCGCCTGGGGCCCTTGGGTTCAGGGGCAGCAGCGGAGCCCCCCGAGCCGGCCCACCCTGCCCCGGGTGGGGGAGCACCGGCCTAGCCCCGCCTGGGGCTCGCGAGGGGCTGCAACGCCGACGGTCGTCTCTGCGCCCCGTTCCCCTTTAACCATCTGCTCTTTCTCGCTTTTCTCCCCAAAAGGCTCAGGTCGAAGCGAAGAGAGAACATGAAGGAGCAGTGCAGCTGCTAGAGGTGGGCGTCCTGGCGGCGGGCGGGCGCTCCTGAGGGGCTCCCTCCGCCCCTCCCCCCTCCCCGCCTTTTCTCCCCCTTGTGTCTCTCCCTGCCCCTCTCTCTCCTGCGGTGGGTGCAGGCGGGGGTGGGGCTGGGGGAATCGAGCCCCCCTAGGCTCCAGCCCTGAGCGCTGGGGCACCTGCTCCAGGCCAGGCGCCTGCTGGTCCCGCCTCACACGAGGAGACAAGACACGGCGTGTCCCTTGGCCACACCCTGCTGCTCCTCGCGCTGGGGCGAGGGCTGCTCTCGGGCATGGAGTGACCCCAGGGGGGGGCCGGCAGCGGGGTCCGGGGGGGTGCAGGGTCAGCTCAGGCGCCTGGGAAGCCGCTGTGCTTGCGCCACCCACCAGACCCCATGGTGGGCTGGCAGGGAGCGGCTCCTTTCCCAGCAGCTGGGGAGCCTGTGTGCGGCTGGCGGGGGATGCCCCGTCCTCGGCTCCCGGCCTGGTGCCAGCCCTCTTGGGCGGGCCGGTGAGGCCGCCTGGAGCTCTCGGGCCAGGCCTTTGCCGCTTCGCCTGCGCGGGTGACCAGTGGGCACAGCCAGTGGCCTGCCTGCCTGAGGCCTGGGCCCGCCCCGGGAGCCTTCATCCGACAAAGCACATCCTTGGGCTCACCCAGGCTCCTCCTGCCCCGCCCTGTCACTGCCCACCAGAGAGAAGGGTGCTCCCCTCTGGGGGTGCTGTCTGCCCTGGGCAGTGGCCACCACTTAAACAGAATCCCTGCCTCTCTTACCTGCCTCCCACGGGGAAGGCTCTTAAAATTGATTTCTCGAAAGTGCCATGAGTAATGGCCACCTGAGGGACACGGGCGATGGACGGAGTTGGAGCCCTGGGCGAGGGGAGGGCCCTGGGATGCAGGCACCTGGGGTGGGTGTCCTATAGGGCCGTCTCAGCCCATAGTCTCTGAGCCCCAGCCCCACGGCCCCTGGTTTGCCGCCTGTGGGGTGTCCCGGCCCCCAGCCACCCTGGCGGGCCCACAGGGGCATCACCGGCGCTTTGGCTCCGTGGCGTGGCCCGGGGTACACAGGAGGCCTTTGGCGGGGGTGCGGCGCTAGAGCCTGCTGTGACTGTGTCTTGCTTGCTCCCCCAGAACGCGCTGGACGGCATGCAGGTACTTGGGGCGACCCCGTGTGTGTGAGACGAGTCCTCCCTCCCAGGGCAGCCGCGAGCCTGGGCCAGCTCAGCCGCCCCTCTCCCAGCACTTGGGGTTCGGCCTGTTGGGGCAGCTGCAGGGGCACTGCCCACAGGGCTCCCCAGCTGCACCTGACCCCTCAGTGTTGAGCAGGCCCAGGACCTGGCCCATCCTGCCAAGGCTGCAGCGCCCCGAATTCCGATGGTGGGGGGACGTCCTCAGCACTGAGTGCCTGCGGGCAGCTGGGGGTGGGGCCGGAACTCCCAGGCCTGGGTGGCCATCGGAATTCGGACATGGCACCTAGCCCCCCGCCCGAGTCTGCCCTGCACCGGCCGCTCCCTGTGGCCCGTGCTGGCCTCCCCTTCCTCCCTCAGTGACCTGGGGGAGCGAAGCGGTTGCCCCTCGCGGTCAGGGCCCTGTTCTGAAACCCTCATCGTGAGTTTGTAGAACAGATGGCTTTTCTCACTGCAGCGGGTGCTTCTCAAAGTGGGGTGCTGAGCCTGCCGCTTTGCCTCACAGAGTGGGTAGGAGGGTGTTAGAAATGCACTCCTGGGCCCCACTGGCACCAGCTGAGTGGGCAGTGGGCCGGGGCCCAGGACTGAGTTCTGATCAGCCCTCGGGCTCTGGCGCAGCTGGCCGGGCAGCAGCCTGGGAGGGCCAGGTACACGGGATCGGCCTCCGCAGCCCGGGCCTGAGCCCCACCGCGGGCTCGCAGGGAGGGGCCGATGTCCCGACCGTGCCGTGCGCCTGGCTGTCACTGGGCTGGTTCCCCCTGGATGCCCCTGCTGCCCCTCTTTGGGCAGAAGCCCCTGAGCAGGACGGTACCTCCCTGCCCCGGACCTGGCGCAGAGCTGCTGGGTGTGGGCAGGTGGCAGGGGCCTGGTCATGTCCTTCAGCTGCTTCCGGGCCGGGTCCTGCCTCCTGGGCAGCCAGGATTTCAAGGTGGGGGTGTCTGGCTCGGGAGGGACTGTGTGGTCCCCAGTGGCTGCTGGAGCCCTAGGAACCAGATCCTGGCTGGCTGCTTCCGTCAAGGGCCCAGAATGTGTGTAAGAGCTGGGGTGCAGGCCAGAGGTGAGAGGACTCCCCAGAGACAGAGTGGGGAGCAGTACAGGCAGATCCCCTGAAATCCACTGCTGAGGGGAGCAGCGGGGAGACAGGAGAGTCTGCTGCGCCCTGTGGGTAGCTCCCTGGCTGGGGATAGACTCGCCGCAGTGGCTGGCGACAGCTTGATAGCGCTGAGACCAGCCCCTGGCCCCCAGGGAGGCCCTGCACCCAGCCCTGAGGCCCATATCCTCCCCGCTCACCTGCAGTTCAGCCAGTGCTGGGGGGACAGGCCAGCTGGGGCCACCCCCACGTCCTGTGGTGGCCTCTCTGGACCCTGGGGACACATTCTGTCCATGGAGCTCAGGCCTTGGGCCTGCAGAATGGGGTCACCCTAACAGTAGCACATAAGTCACTGCCCAGCCCCCGTGTCTGCTGGAGACCTGCAAGGCCCAGGCCGCCCCCCCCCTTGGGACCACCTCCCTGGGCCGCCCCGGCCCCGCCCCCTCACCCTGCGCCACGCCCCCAGGCGGCCGCCCAGGCCCCGCCCCGCCCCTCCACCCTGGCCCCGCCCCGCCCCACCCAGGCCCGCCCCGCCCCACGCCCCTGGCCGCTACCCTGGCCCTGCCCCCTCCCCGCCCAAGCCCCGCCCCCCACCCTGGCCCCGCCCCAGGTCCTGCCCCCGCCCGCCCCACCTCGCTGCCCCAGGCGCAAGGCCCGCCCAGGCCCCCGCTCCACCAAAGGCTGGAGTGTTTCCTGTTTCCCTAAAACCTGTCCACGTCCCCCCGTTTTTTATTCTGACGTAGCTCTCCGTTCACAGGAAGTCACAGCAGGGCAGAACGCCCCTGCCCTGGGCACAGAGCCTGGTCAAGACCCAGGGGGCGGGCTGCACGGGCCCAGCGCAGATGGGGGGACCCCTGGCCTCCCCGGGAGCACCCCAGGTGTCGCCGCCCCCAGCAGCCCTCCCGCCACCCACCACGACGGCCCCACTCGCGGGCCTTCCTCAGCCGCCCGCTGGCAGGTGGCCGTGTGGCCGCGGGTCAGCTGAGGCGCCTGGGGGCTCTCCTGCAGCTGGCCCCTCCGGGCGCTCAGCCAGCCTCTGCACCCGTGCTGAGGCCGGACCCTGGCCCTCCCTGCAGCCTCGCTCCTGGGCTGAGAGCATGCCTGGGGGTGGCCGGGCCCTGAGGCAGAGCCAAGGCCTGGCTGCTGGCGGGGTGTCCCGCCCCAGGCCACACCTGTGTCCTCAAGAGCCTTTCACAGCCAAGCACATTAGCTTTTTAAAGAGGAATCCTGCTGGTTTTTAAAAATGAGTGGAAGAAATTATAGGTTTGGGATCTGTTAGGTGTATTTTTAGCAATAGGGCTTCATCCTGGGCTGAGGAGCTGAAGAGCTTCATGCCAGGGGACGGGGGAGGAGGGTGAGGGGTAAGGGAGGGGTTGCCAGGGGACCGTCTGCTGCTGGGCTCAGGCTGAGGGCAATTGGGGTCCAGCCCTTCCCACACCCGCAAGTGGATGCACATGGAGCCATGTCCACTGGCGCCCACATGTGCTGCGCTCTGGGGCAGGAGCTGGGCCACAGGGGCAGGCCTTGGGGCAGCACCCAGAGCTCTGCCCATGGCACAAGAGCCAACCGCGCTCTGTAGGGCGCTGCGGACAGCTGCAGCCTTCAGGGTCCCAGCAGGGCAGGAGCCCGACCCCGCTTCTCTTGCAGCGCGTCGCTGTGTGCTGGGGCCCGGGTGTGGGGCATATCTGTGGGGCCTGGGAGCTGCTGCCTCACCATGCGGGAGCTGCTGGGGCTGGTGGGGGCCCTCCCTGCGGGGTCTGTGCAGAGCAGCCTGGCTGCAGGAGTTGAAGCCGGGACCCTGGGAGGGAGGGGACAGCAGGCAGGAGCCACAGGTGGGAGGCCAGCCCTGTCCTGAACATGGTCCCCAAGGGACTGCGGCCCTCCCAGGTGCCAAAGACGTGTCCAATGCCTGCCTGATGCGCCAGGCTGCCAGGGTCAGAGCAGCAGACCCAGGCCCCTCCCCACTCAGGGGTGTTCTTAGGGTTCTGGAGCTGGGAGGTGCCACGACGGGACACACTGCTGAGTTGGCTGGGAGCTGCCCTGGGGTTGGGCCGTGCCTCAGCCACTAAGCGCCTGCACACAGAGCCTAGGACGGCCACAGCCAGTGGGGCCCGGTGCCTGCAGGCCCCTGCGCCACCCCCCCACGCCCCGCGCCCTCGGGCTGGAGGCAGGAATGCAGGGGGCTTGGTCCTGCCAGATGCGGGTCTGCTGCGAGGCAAGAGGCTGCCCCTGACATGCACTCAGCACACGGCACACGCAACCCAGAATGCACCACGTACACAAGATGGCACGCACAGAACACACAACATGCGTGCACCACACACGCAAGGCAGCACACGTGACGGCACATGAGACACGGGCATGCGATACAGTGCCAGAGCACGCATATGTGTGCACAGCACACAACACGCACGCACACAAGTGTGCACACGACGCAGGCCGGCACACCGGTGTGCTCGCAGCGCCCCGTGCCGGCCGCTGACGCCTCTCTCCGCGCAGAGCAGGGTGCGGGAGCTGGAGGAGCAGTGCCGCGCGCAGAGCGAGCAGTTCAGCCTGCTGTCCCGGGGCCTGGAGGTGCTGCGGCGGGCCGGGACCACCGACCTGCTGGGCAGCCTCCCGCCGGCCCCCCTGGGAGTGCCCGCGCCCCCCGACAAGCCCTTCCCACACTTCATGAACGGACTCGCCGCCTCCTTCGGCAAAGGTAGCAGCGCCTCGTGGGCCCCTCTGCCCACAGACCAGAGTCCAGACCGCCCAGGATGGGCGCTTGGCCCAGGGCCGTGGCTGGGGCAGGCTTGGGGTGGCGGTGCCTCCTCACAGTGGCCCCACTCCGCAGGCCGCGAGAGCACGGTGGGGGGCCCCACTGTGACCAGGGACCTCATCGGGCCCCTCCCGCTCCCTGGAGACTCACCACTGTCCGCCAGGCCTGCCTTTCTGTCCAGGTCCAGCAGCCCAAGATGCAGATTTGAAGCAGACGTGAGTGCCGTCCATCTGGGGACCCGCTCCTGGAGCACAGGCGACACCCCACCTGCCTCCCAGCCCTTCCTGTCCCAGCTGGGCCGCTGTGGGGCCAGGAGATACCATGGGGGGGCTGGGGGGCGAGCCCCCTGTCACCCTCTCCAGGCAGGGCCCCCAGGCAGGTCCTGACACCCTGGCTCTTCCTCCTGAGCTGAGCCCCGGGGAGCAGAGGGGCCATTGTCCCCCCACGCGTCCCCGAGCCTGGCAGGGTCTGGCTTGAGAGGACTTCCTGGGAAAGCCCTTCCCTGTCACCCGGGAGCCCGCAGCGGGGCGCTCCTCTGCTCAGATGCGCTTGGGGCGGGGCGGGGCAGAGTGCCCTCAGGCTTCTGGGCCCCCTTAGTCCCTCGTGTCTTCCGTAGATGGACAATGACCGGAGTCCCAGCAGCTCCAAGCAGAGATACTCAGGGAAGGTCCACCTGTGTGTCGCCCGCTACAGGTAGGAGACGCGGCGCCTCCCTGCTCGGGCCCCCCCAGCCGTCTGTCCACCGGGAGGCTAAACACACCAGAAAGCGGCTCTGGTCCAGAGGTCTCTCTTTCACAAAGACCCCCGGCTCTGGATCAGGCCCCCCACACCCCAGGAGGACCCCACCTAACTTGGGCATGTTTGTAAAGATCCTGTTCCCCACGGGTATCGGGGAGCCTCTCAGCTCCTGGGGGCCCCTTCCCTGCCCCCGGGCCTTTGCATGTGCTGCTCCCGCTGCAGGAGGCAGCCACGCTCCTCCCCGTCCCCCGGTGCTCCTGCTGTGTGTTGCTGGCCCCGGGCTTGACCTGGCACCTCGGTCAGACCTGTGGGCATGGACAGTGAGGGATGGTGGGAGCGGCGAGGCTCGGCTGCCTGGAGGTCGGGAGGCCGGACTCTGCTTCAAGCTGAGCCTGTGGCAGGTCCTCCTGTCACCCGGCCATTAAAGCGGGGGCGGTTCCTGTGACACAGTAAACATGGCGCGTGTGGGGTAGGTGTTCCCTTGGCTCTGCTTTCCTCACCGAGACGTCCTGGTGTCCCAGCGGAGCCCGCACAGGAGCATGCTGGCCGGCTGGGCCTGCCGGGCCCTTGACCCTGTTTGAAGGCACACGACTGTCACTCCCCCCATCAGCACTGCTGCTGCGTGGGTTTTCTTTTTGAGGCTTTTTCTGTTACTTATAATTAGTTAGCTGGTCAACAAGAAGGCCGTCTGACTGATGTTTTATCTGCAAGTTGGACATGACCTCAAAAAACATCTTGGGGACTTGAGAATGTGGGGTGCCTTCTCCTGGGGGAGGGGAGATCAAATGAGACCATTCCTCAGGTCCTTTTAGCCAAACCCACGCACTTCCCAGGGACTTGTTGCCCTCAGGGAGAGTGGGTGGAGCCTGAGGGACGTTTATGTGGACGTGTGAAGTAGCGCTGATTGTGTGAGCCGAAGTGAGGGGCAACAGCAGTTCCATCGGGCATCCCCTCAGGAACTGCTTGGAACTTGGGTCAACGAAGCAGGTCCATCTAGTCAGTGGAAAATTATACACCCATCAAAAAGGTGCTGCTCGACCATCTCATGAGATGGAAGGATAGTTGTGCTGCACTGCAAAGGGTAAGCAGCACACAAATCAGGAAATGGGACATGTAGTGTGATTCCGCCATGGCTAGATGGTCATATTGACATGCTACAGAGCTGACTTTCTTATTAACTTAGAAATGTGTAGCTCTGGCAGCACAGGCAGGTTTGAACAGAAATAGCGGATCCATAAATGCATCATCTGATGCAGAGACTCCCACACTGCCGCTTGTTTTCAGATGGTCTTTGTTTGAAATCTGGGGTGAGTCATCAGAGGCACGCTGCTGAGCTTTCCCAGCACACACGGGGCACGCCCTGAGCGTGGTTTCCCAGTGGCGGGGAGAGGGTGCCAGCCCCAACGGCAGGGAGGACCCCATGGGGTCCCCGGTGCCTGCTGACGAAGGCTGCTTTCTCCTCAGCTACAACCCCTTCGATGGGCCGAACGAAAACCCGGAGGCTGAGCTGCCCCTCACGGCAGGGAAGTACCTGTACATCTACGGGGACATGGACGAGGACGGCTTCTACGAAGGTCTCTGTTAGCACGTGGAGGGCGCCCAGGGTCTCCCGACAGGCCAGGACCCTCACTCCTGCTGGCCCCAGTTCTCTGCTCTGTGACCCTCCTGGTCTCGGAGTCACCAGCTTTTCCCCTTGGGGATGATGGGGAGAGGGGGGGGTCCAGTTTTTAACTCCGAGCAGACCCCGGCGCTCACTGGGTGTTCTGGAATCTCAGTCTCCACGGAGCCTCCCAGATGCCATTCCCAATGCTCGGGGCCGCAGCCCTGTCACCAGGGTGTCCGCTCCTGCTCATTCCGGCTGCCCAGGTGCCCTCCCCCTGTCCCAGTGACCCCCCACGAGAGAGGCTCTCACCCCAGAGGGTGCCCATGGTTAACCTGGCGCTGTCTGGCCCCACCTGCTGACCGCCCCGCGTGGTCATCCCCCACGATCTGAAATTAGGAAATGTGAAATCCCCTCCCCAGAATGCTAAATCTTCGTCATCTTTTGACCTTGAACACGTGACGGCACCAGAAGCTTCATACATCAACATCCTAGAGGGTTTGCTTCATCGTTTTAGATTTTTTGGTACAAACAGAAGCTGGGGAGTGGTTAGAGTAGGGCCTGGGGACGGCAAGTGCTCGGTAACGTCAGTCATCCTCACCACCACCTGCCCCGTCCGCACCACCACCCTCAGCTCCCCGGCTGCATTTCCAGTGCACCCTCAATGAAGGCCGGCCTCTCCCTTCCGCCTGGCCTGGGTTGGGCCGGGAAGAGTCGAGGCCTTATGATAGGGCAGCCCTGCCCCGAAGCGCTCAGTGACGCGGCTGTGCTGTCCCAGCAGGTGAGCTCCTGGACGGGCAGAGGGGCTTGGTACCGTCCAACTTCGTGGATTTTGTCCAGGACAGCGAGTCCCGCTTGGCCGGCACGCTGGGGAGCGAGCAGGACCAGAACCTCATCAACCATTCGGGGCTGGGCTTGGAGGGGGGGCGCATTCTGGACCTGCACTCGCCCACGCACACGGACCTGGGTGTCCCCGCTGACACGGGGGCGCCGGAGGTGAGCCTCGACGACGCCGGAGAAGACACCGTGCCTTACCCTCGGAAAATCACCCTGATCAAACAACTCGCCAAAAGTGTCATTGTGGGCTGGGAGCCCCCGGCCGTGCCGCCGGGCTGGGGCGCCGTGAGCAGCTACACGGTGCTGGTGGACGCGGAGCCCCGCCTCAGCCTGGCCCTGGGCAGCAGGACCAAGGCCCTGGTGGAGAAGCTCAACCTGGCGGCCTGCACCCACCGCATCTCCGTGCAGTGCGTGACCAGCCGGGGCAGCTCGGACGAGCTGCGGTGCACGCTGCTGGTGGGCAGGGACGTGGTGGTGGCGCCCTCCCACCTGCGCGTGGATAACATCACGCAGATCTCCGCCCAGCTGTCCTGGCTGCCCACCAACAGCAACTACAGCCACGTGATCTTCCTCAATGAGGAGGAGCTGGACATGGTCAAGGCCGCCAGGTACAAGTACCAGTTCTTCAATCTCAGGCCCAACATGGCCTACAAGGTCAAGGTCCTGGCCAAGCCCCACCAGATGCCCTGGCAGCTGCCCCTGGAGCAGAGGGAGAAGAAGGAGGCCTTCGTGGAGTTCTCCACACTGCCCGCAGGTGCGCCTCCTCGCGGACGCCCTGGGGCGGGGGAGGGGCTGCGTCCCGTCCACACGCCTGGAGCGCCCAAGGAGCCGGCCAGAGGCTCAGGCATGCGTGGGGGGCCTGGTTGTGGTTTGGAGAGACTGTCAGCACTTGCATCACCAGGGGCTCATCCTGCATGAGGCAGGGGGACGCCAGGGCTGGGGGCGGCCGCTTCCTGTGTCCAGGTCCAGGGCCGTCCACCCAGCTCCCTGAGGGCCGACAGCTAATCCCAGCTGCGTGGGTCTGTGAGGCAGGACAGCCCCCACATGTGCTCTTGGGCTCCCTGCACCCGGCCCAGACTCCTCTCCTCTGCACGGGAAGAGGCCGGCAACCCCTCGCACGCGCCCCCTGGGAGTCTTGGGGGCGGGTGGGTGGGGGACGGCCCAGCCTGCATGTTCCTCTCCTTCTGCGGGTGCTGCAGGCCGCCAGGGTGCTGGCTCAGCCTGGAGCCTCAGACCCGCCCCCCGCGTGAGACCCATCTGCCTTCAAACGAGAGGACCGGGGTTCTGCACCCTCAGACTGGGGCCGCGACCAGCAGCGTGCAGAGGGGGTCCTGCTCCTCCTGGAGCCCCCGGGGCGGGACGTGATCCCAGGCTATGCCGAGTTAGCCCCTCCGGGTGCGGGCCGTCAGCCCGGCGCTCGCTGTCCTGGCGGGGGCCTCTGTGCATGCGCCAGCCCCCGCCGCCCCGGGGCCCTGGGTCTCTCAAGTCCAGGGAAGGGGGTGCTGGGGGAGGGCAGGGTGGGGCGTCTTCTTGGGCCCTGCTCCCCTGGAGTGGGGTGGGGAGGCGCGGCCTGTGCCCCTGGCTCGCCGCAGTGGGGAGACAGCCTGGCCTGCTGCCGCCTTCCCGCCTTCCGCCCTCGCCCACCCCAGCCGCTGTCCGGCGCCTCTAAGGACTGTCTCCTCTGAGGTGAGGTGACCTGGGCCGCTCACCGGCCCCGGCGCTGCCTGAGCCTGCCTGCCTTCTGCCCCCAGGTCCCCCGGCTCCCCCGCAGGACGTCTCCGTGCAGGCCGGGGCCACCCCCGCCACCGTCCTGGTCTCCTGGAAGCCGCCCACCTTGACGGCCGCCGGCCTGTCCAACGGGGCCAGCGTCACGGGCTACGGGGTGTTCGCCAAAGGCCAGCGGGTGTGTGGGCTCACCCCTGGACCACGGCCCCCCGCCTGCCTCCCTCCCCTGCGCCCAGTGCCCGCGGCCCGGCGGGTGGACCCCCACCCACGCCCCCAGCCATGGCCCTCCGGGGCGCCGGGTCCAGAGCGTGGGCAGGACGGCACCGCCCCGCAGGGTCTGTCCCCAGAACAGGGCTGCCCTTTCCTTTGGCCCAGCGCCTGGGCCAGTGGCAGCTGCTGGGCAGCCTGGCAGCTGCCCTCTCTGCGTGCAGGTGGCTGAGCTCATCGCACCCACAGCAGACAGCACGGCCGTGGAGCTGGCCCGCCTGCACAGCCTGGACGCCAAGGCCCTGACTGTGCGGACCCTCTCTGCGCAGGGGGAGTCGGTGGACTCTGCCCTTGCTGCCATCCCTCCCGACCTCCTGGTGCCTCCACCGCCCCACCCCAGAGCTGTGCCCATGCCGAAGCCATCAGCAAGTGCCGGAGCCCCCGAAACCAAAGATGACCACCTGGGTCCCCACGCCCGGGCCAACGAGGGCTGGGAGCAGGGCCGGGCGCCCCCTGCCCACGGGCGCAGGCTGGAGCTGCCCGCCGGCCCCGGGCGGCGCTCGCCCTCGCCCAGCCGCATCCTGCCGCAGCCCCAGGGGGCCCCCGTGTCCACCTCCGTCGCCAAGGCCATGGCCCGGGAGGCTGCGCAGAGAGTGGCCGAGAGCAGCAGGGTAAGGCGCCGCCCCCGGCCCCGCCGCGGATGCAGGGGCCCCTCTGGCACCCGCCCCGTGTCCTGGGGTCCCGCAGCCCTGGCCCTGCAGCCCTGGAGCTTGGAGTCTTCCGCTGGCCGGCAGGCCCCCGCCGCCCTCCCATCCGGTCACCCGGCCCTGTCTCCTCCAAGTCAGAGAAGAGGAGCGTGTTCCTGGAGAGGAGCTCGGGGCGCTACGCCGACTCTGACGAGGAGGATGGCTACTGCTCCCCGGAACCCCCGCGCCGGGGCACCTCGGTGGACGACTTCCTGCGGGGCTCGGAGCTGGGCAAGCAGGTGAGCAGGTGAGGGGCCAGGCGGGGCTGCGCTGCCCAGGGTCCCGCGGGCTCTGGCCAGACGATTCGCCCTCGCATCCGGGCGCCGTCCTGGGGGCAGCCAGGGAGCCTTCTGGCCTCCATGTGGACAGCACAGCCCTGTTCTTGGCCGTTACTGGCAAACCGCCCCGTGCTGGGGTGAAGCGAGCGCACCCCCCACTTCTGCTCCGCCCAGGTGACCGCTGTCACCACGGGCCCTTGGAAGTGTCCTTGGGTGACAGCAAGGATACAGGCTGGACGGCTGGAGGGTCAGGGATGGGGCCTGCCTGGCCAGTCCTAACCTGGGGATGCCTCAGAGGGCCTGGCCCTTTCCTGAGCACACTCACGCGAGGCCTCACTGGACATACGAGGTGGGGGCACGTCCTTGGCTGCCTCACAAAGCCCCGTGGGGAGTGCCCATGGCGGCAGTGTCCTCACCCGTAAGCCTCAGTCAGTGTCCCTGCACTCACCGTGACAGAAAACCAAACTGTCTAACATTAGCAGCTGGAAGAACAAAGACATCTAGTGACCGCCGCGGGCCCCCTGGGTCTGGCGCAGAACTGTCTCGTGGCACAAAGTGGCTGCCAGGGCTCCAGCTATCACACCCTCATGTGGCAGCCCCTGGGGAGGGGGGAGGGGCTGTTCTCCTGGGGCTCACTCGCTTCACTGGGACAGGGGGCTCTCCAGAAACCACACCAGACTTTGCCCACATGCCTCTGGGCAGACCAGGGCCTCGAGCCCTCCCGCGGGTTCCTGGGAGCCCTTGCTGACTCCCTGTTAGACGGTCGGGGCTCTGGCCACGAGGGAAAGTGGGTTTCTGTGGCACGTTGGCTAAGTCTGCTGGGACGGCCAACGCCACAGCCCAGCGGCCGGAACAAAGCCCTTTGTTGCTCTAGCCAGGGGGCCGGCTCCAGGTGAGGTCCGTGCCCTGCGCAGGCCCCTGGCGTCGAGGCCCCATTGTAGGGTCGCATCGTGGCCGGCAGGCTGGGTCCCCGCTCCTGGAACCTTGGGCTGCCCGGCGAGGAGACGGGCCCACACCCCTCCCCTGGGAGAGCGTGACCTGGCAGGGACCGCGGCGCTCAGGGCCCCCGCCCAGAGCCCTGGGAGCAGAGCCGCCTCTGTGGCCGCTGAGTCTGCGCGTTTGCACACAGTAGGTCTCCTTTGTTGTGCTGATAAAGAGGGGTGCCTGCCTGTTTGCTGTGAGGAGTGATGGCGGTTCTCCTAGTGCTGCAGACCCACATGGAGTGGCGGCCTTGACGGCCAGGACCAGGAGGGGCTCTTCCGTGAGCCAAACTGGGGGTGGGTGTTTGCGGAGGGGCAGGTGGTCTGCTGGGGGAAGAGACCCTTCGTCGGATCCTCTCTAGTGAGTGTCTCGCCCAGAGCCCCCGCCAGCTGCCCAGTGCCGTGCCCCAGCCCAGGAAAGCAGGCCTCTGCCAGCACACACCTGCCAGCACACGTGTCAAGCGTGCCCCTGCCAGGCATGCAGCTGTCAGCACACGCCACATACTTTCAACAGGCACCTGTCAGCCTCGCCTGCGGTGAGCCCGATGAGGCCCAAGAGCAAAGCCACATGTTCCCCAAGGAGCAGCCCTGGGTGGGCCCCCAAGGCCTGTGCTCCGCGGAGGGGTCCCGGGCTGGCCCAGCCGTCGTGGTGGGTCACTGCGAGTGGTTGCTGGCACTCCTCCTGGATGGGGACCGCCCTCCGCCACGGGACGGGCAGCCGACACCCACGGGAGATCAGGGGCCACGCTGCCTCGCCTGCACGGCTGCCACTGGTCCCCAGTGATGCACATGTGCCTGTCCCAGCCTTCCCTCCACCGGGAGCCCCTGGACCCAGCCTGGCCTTTGTGCACGCCACATCTCCTGCCCTGTGCCCGATGGAGGGTCTCCCCCCAGCCCTGGCCACCCACCCCCGCCGGCAGGGACAACAACGAGGCGCCCGTGTCCTTGGGGCCAGCCACCGAGAGCAGGTGCCTGATGCGATGCGCGTCGTCTTGTGGCAGCCATGGTCAGCAGCGCCAGGCAGAGCGGCTCACGCCACACAGCTTGGGTTGCTCAGCTGCCTGTCCTGGCTGGGCACTGCGGAAACGCTGCTGGGTGGGGCTGGGCTGGCAGGCGCCGTGGCCAGGAGCAGGCGGGGCTGTATGTTCTGGGGCTCCTGGTGTCCAGGGGTCTGCGGGAGCCTCCAGCCACCCCACCCCCAGGCAGCTCCTGCCCACACTGAGCTCCAGCCCCGACCCAGGCACAGACGTGTGGTGCCCGGGCCCATAGCCCCTGCACACGGATGCAGCTGCAGCCTTTGCTGGCCGGCCTGCCGGGCGCTGACGGTGCCTTGGGGTGGCCACCCGTAGTGTCGCTGAGCCTCGGGGCTCTGTCCAGGGCCAGGGCTCTGCACCTGTGGCCTCTGAGCTCCCCTTGGGAGTGAGCAGCTCGCACACCCACACCCACATGCTCACGACACACAGCCATGAAGCGCACACGCAGACACTGCTCAACACGGTGTTCACACGCCTGCACACGCCCTCCCCAGTGGCCACTCACGCGTGTGCACACGCAGGGCTCATGCAGCCGAGCGGGGCAGGGAGGGAGTGGGCCCCACGCGGCTCCCACACGCCTCTCTCACCAGCCGCACTGCTGCCACGGCGACGAGCAGCACACGGAGAGCAGCCGGGGCTCTGACCTCTCCGACATCCTGGAGGAGGACGAGGAGGACCTGTACTCGGAGATGCCGCTGGAGGACGGCGGCCGGAGGCGGCCCAGCGGCACGTCCCACAACGCCCTCAAGGTCAGTGGCTCCCTGCGGCGTCCCGAGGCGTCCTCTCCCAGGCCCCGGCCGGCCCGAGGGGCAGCTGGTCTCCACCCACGTCTGGGGGCCGATCGTGTCACTGTGGAGCTTGCGCTGGGGCTCCCCGAGCCGCCTCTGCCGCCTGGGTGTGGGCTGAGCCCCTGTGGCCTGGGGCAGCCGCTCCCTGCGGCACTGAACGGGCCACTCAGCCCGGCCCAGCGCTCTGTGCCCGAGGGAGGACGGGGGTGCGCGGAGCTGCTTCTGGGAAGGCGCCAGTGGAGGCTCCAAGGGCGCTGGGGCGGGGAGGGAGGCTGGGGACAGCGCTGTGCTCCTGGGGCCGGGGGCTTGGAGCCACAGCTTCCACCCACGATGCGAGCCCTGCTCGGCGGGCCTCACCTGACGGGACGGCGAGGGGCGGCGGGCGGGCGGGACTGGCTGGGGCCGTTGGGCCGCCACTGATGCGGTGACAGACCTCGCCAGGCTGCGAGTCCATCTCCTCCGCGCCAGGCTGGGGCGGTGCCCGCGAGCCCGGGGCTGCCGTCCGGGGCCTGAGGGTGGGGCCTTGGCCAGGCAGCGGCCGGGGCCGCGGGCGGAAGCGCCAGGCACGCATCTCTCTGGAGTGCTGTTGCCTTGTGAGTGTGGACGAAGGCCACCCGCGGGGCTGCTCACACGGAGAAGAGCCGTGTTCTCAGGAGGGGCCAAGGGGCTGTGCGCATCCCCAGAGCACACCGGCCGCTTGGCCTCGGCCGCTTGACCCGCGCCCCGCTCCCAGGAGCCACCGACCGTTCTTGGCAGAGTAAGGCGCGAGCTTCCTCTGGTGCAGAGTGCAGGGGTGCCGTCTCACCCGGAGCCCCCACGCTTTGCCCCCAAAGCCAGAGCTGCTTGGGAGTGTCTGCGAGCCGGTGGTCACCTGCACTGCAGGTGGGGTGGGCCTTCCCGGTACGAGCCTGGCAGGAGGCCAACATGCGCCTTTCGAAACCAAGCACGGCCAAGCCCCAGCCACAGGCCCCTGGGAACAGCCGTGCAGATGTCCGGTGGGCAGGGCAGGGACAGCAGGGCCTTCCTGGTCCCACACACACTTTCAGCTTAAGAAGCAAGGGGTGCAGAGACCGCCTGGTTTCCAGTTCTCTAGAAATCCCAGGACCTGGTGCCTGGGCTCAGTGTCCCCTCGGGAGCAGTGAGCGGCTGCAGGGCTGGTACACTGGTGCCCACTTTTGGTCTGGGAGGCACCCTGGCCAGTCCCTTCTCCTGCACCCATGCTTGAAGCGTGTGGCCAGGAGGGCTGGGCAGCCAGTGCTGAAGGTCCCCGGATGTGCGTCAGGGGCACTGGGAGCCTCTGCAGGCGGAGCAGGAGCCGAGGGGCAAGATGATGACTGTCCACTCCCACTGGCCGGTGCTGGCTAGGCATGTGGGGGCTGCTCCAGGCCAGGCCTCAGCCAGCAGTGCAAGGTTCCACACCTGCCCAGTCCCTGGAGGGCAGACAGGCAGACAGCCTGGGCTCAGCAGGCACCGAGGCGGCGAGGGTTCGGGCCCCTGGACACTGGGCCCTCTGTGTGGGGTCCAGGGCGGCAGGAGCCAGGCGACAGGAAGGAGGGGCCAAAGGGGCACGGGTGCAGCAGCAGAGCCGAGGGGCAGCCATGCCGGACAGGTGTTGTCTTTTGGGATTTGTCCAAAGGCCTGTGGACCGCTGCTTCCTGAGCTCTGGGGGTGCAGCTGACAGGCCGTGGGTGCAGACCCCCGAGGCTCGGACAGGTGTCTCGGTCAGCGCCCAGCCTCCTCCTCTGCCTGGGCTGGTTGGCGCCACTTCCCTCGGCCCAGTGCGCTGGTGCTGCTCTGGCTCCCCAGGGGCCGCTCTGGGGTGCTGTCCGTGCTGCTCTGCCCCCCACCGGCACCCCTTAATCCACTCTGTTTTCATTCCAGAGCCCGCAGAGCATGCCCTCCCAGATGTGCCTCGAGACTAATCCTGTGTTTTCTTTCCTCCCACGCCCCCACTTCACGGCCGCTCTCACACCCCGCCCCTGTCCTCACGCGCCCCAGGACTGCTCCCGGCCCTGGGCCCCGACGGCAGCTTCCTGGAGCAGCCCGAGCACCCCCGCCCGGCCCAGCACAGCAAGAAGCTGTTCAGTATCCCTGAGGTAGCCGAGGAGGACGGGGAGCCCTGGGAGCTGTGGCATAGACCGGGCGCAGGGGGCGCCCCCGGGCCCGAACCCACAGGCCCGCCCGGCCTGGCAGGGGAGATGCGGTCTCACGGGGCTCCTGGCTCCCGGCCACGCCCAGGGCCCCGGGGGCAGGCTCCCACGCCGAGGACGCCCCGCTGGAGGACAGGAGCGGCCGCTTCGGCCGCTGGGCCCCCCGGAGCCCGGACAGCGGCCTGGACTGCGGCAGCGAAGAGGAGGAGTCGCGCTTTAGTGTCCGCCGCCCGGCCTCCCTGTGCGGCCCGGGCCCGGGGCCCTGCCCCTGCCGGAGGGGCCTGCGGCCGCTGCTGGCCCGGCGGCGCACGCTGACCCGACAGAGCAGCGTCGAAGAGGACTTTGGGGAGCCAGGGGGCCCCGGCGACGTCGTCAGGAGCGATGACGCCCAGCCCGGCCCCGAGAGACCCGCCCCCGGGAAGGATGGCTGGGACGCGCCCCCGGGGCCGGGCGCTGCGCGGGAGGCGTGCAGGACAGGCGACCGAGCGCCGGGCCGCAGGGCAGCGGGCCGCGCCGCCCTGCCCCCGCCCGGGCCGCGGAAGGCCCTGGGGTGCGTGCCGCCTTCCTCTGCCCACCTCCGCTTGCCGACCGCCTTCTCCATCTCCATCCCGGCACGGCGCTGCTGCCTCTTCCCGCGCGTTTGATTTCTCACACCGCATTGCTTCCCGGCCGCCCGGCCCGCGGGGCCCCTTTCCCTTGCTGTAGAATAACCACCCCCAGCCCGGCGGCGGGGCTGGCTGCTTTCATAAAGGACAACTGAATCTAAATTTTAATTAAGGGTTAGCTGAGCCGGGACGGCCCACGTTTGGCCACACTTACTTTTCTCAAAACGCACCTGAGGGACTGACGACGGCGCCGTCGTCGAGGCTGTTCCCCCGGGCCTGGCGCGGGCGCAGAGCGGGGAAGGATGGCGGGCGAGGCGGCTTCTGCTCGGCCCCCGCAGCCCGCCTCCGCCGCCGGCTCAGGATGAGCCTCGCCTCTCAGCCCCGGGCGGCCCGCCCCGCCCCGCAGGCTGGCTAGTGGATGCAGGCGCGGGGGCCCGGGCCCCGTGCACCTCTGCGCTGTGTCCTCTTTCCAGAACACTCGCTCCCGTCGTGCGCAGCTTTGCCATGACGACAGGTGAGCCCGCTCGGCCCGGGCCGGCGCTGCTCGCGCTCTGTCCGCAAGAGGGCGCCGATCTGTCACCCGCTGAGTCGCGCCGCGGGGCGCCCGCACCCCGTGCCCCGCCTGCAACAAGCACGTCTGGAGCTCCGAGCCCGGCTCGTTCCCTGTGTCCCCGAGAACTTCTGGCTCAAATTACCCACCAGCGAGCTGGAGGCTTCGCTCGGATTCTCTTAGACGAGTCCCGCCTGTCGTGTAAAGAAACGAAAGGCAGACTTAGCCGTCCGGGGAGCCCTTCGGTGAGCCCCGAAAATGACGGGGGTCTTCAGATTAGGGCCGCGATGTCACCTGGAGTTTCAGAGCCAATGACGCGCAGAAACGCGTGTCTGAGCCTCCGGGAGCCGCCCACACAGCTCGGCCCCAGGTGCGCCCCTTTGCGGCGGAGGAGGCCGGGCCGGGCTGGGACAGGTGAGGCTGCGCCGGGGGGCCGAGCCCCAGCGACGCCGCCCTCGCTTTGCCCCGAGTGTTTGCTTCGGCAGCTGAGCAGCCACAAACACCGTCACCCCCACCCGTGTGTTGCCCAACGACTCCGCGGTAGACGACGGGGCGCCTGGGGTGAACAGCTTTTCTCTCTTCCAGGTCAATCAGCTAACCTTTCAGTTAAAAGCTAAGTTTAGTTGCCTTTAGAGCTTCTGCTTCTCAGTTGATTGATTTGGCTGATTCACCCGTCCCTCCCTGAGGCGGCGACGCTCACGCCTGGCTCCGCTTGTGTCCCCAGATCCTCGGGAACCCGGCAGCGGCCGGCCGGCCGGACAGGGCGGACCCCGTGGGCCGGAGGCTCTCCCACGGCGGCGTGGGTGCCCAGCGGGCCCGGCCGGCGGCCGGCCCGGCCATCGGTGAGTGGGCCTCCCTCTCGCGCCCCCGGCTTCAGCGAAACACTGCAAGGGGCGTAAGGAACGGCGTGTTGGGCCAAACGGGGGTGTTCAGTTACCTGCTGCCGTGCAGGCGGGCGCCGCAGCGGCACGCCCGGGCCTGGGCCTGGCAGAAGACCACGCTGGCCTCGTGCCCCGCGCCTTCTGCACCTGGCTAGGCCCATAGGGGCCAGGGCGGCTCAGCGGGACCTGCGGGAGGAGGACCCCAGGCACCCGGCCCTCCAGCCCGCGACCCGAGTCCTGACTCCTTTTGGGAATTCTGGCACTGCAGCCGGGTCAAGTGGGCAGACGGGGCCTGCCCTGGTGGCAAGCATCGTGGGCAAGCCCGAGCCCTCAGGTGTGGGGCCACGGGGTGGCGGGGCCCGCCTGCCAGGAGGGCCGGTGGGGCCGGCGAGCGACACACAGGGGCCTACGGCGCTTTCAAAGGGACGGTGGTGTGAGCCCCGCAGCTCCCCCAGCGGGGCTCACGGTAGCCGCGGGAGGTGGGGCCGGCGGTCAGCACCGGGCTTTGGCTCCTGGCAAGAGCCTAGTCTTGGGGTACCCCGCGCTCGGCCCTGCAGCGCCGTCTCCTTTCCTGGGGGGGTCTGAGTCTGCAGGACACACGCCTCCTAAATGCGTCTGTAGTGAGCGGCGTGTGCACCGGGAAACAGAAGCCCCACACTTTCAGCATCCCCTGGGCCCCTAAATTTAAGAAAACTGCCCCCCCCCCATTTACAAAGATGGAGACTCTGGTCCCTCCAGTAAGTACCCGGAGGGCCGAGCCCGTGCAGCCTCTTCTGAGAGACGGTCCGGGCCCGGGCTGGGCCGCCGCCCCTCCCCATCCACCGCAGCGCGAGCAGCAGGACCCGGCTCCTGGGCCCGTGGCACCCACCTCTCCCCCTGCCCCCCGCGCTGCAGATGACTACGGCGGGCGGGAGGGGCTCTCCCCGGACTTCTACGAGGAGTCGGACACCGACCCTGGCGCCGAGGAGCTGCCCGCCCGGGTCTTCGTGGCTCTTTTTGATTACGACCCCCTCACCATGTCCCCGAACCCCGATGCGGCGGAAGAGGAGCTCCCCTTTAAAGAAGGCCAGGTCATCAAGGTGGGGGCTTGGGGTCCTTGAGGCAGGCCCTCCGGGGGCAGGGAGTGCCCGGGCAGGTCCCCGGGGTGGGGCGGGGTGCTGGGGGCACGGGTGGGGCGCGGTGGCGGTGCCTGACTGCTCCCGTGGCCCCAGGTGTATGGGGACAAAGACGCGGACGGGTTCTACCGCGGGGAGACGTGCGCGCGGCTGGGCCTCATCCCCTGCAACATGGTCTCCGAGATCCAGGCGGACGACGAGGAGATGGTGGGCCAGCTGCTCCGCCAGGGCTTCCTCCCGCTCAACACGCCGGTGGAGAAAATAGGTGAGGAGGCGCCCGCGCGGGCTGCCTGCGGGCCAGGGCTGCACCGTCGCAGCAGCTGCACGCCCGGGGTCGGGGCTGAGCCGTGTCCCCACCAATCACACGCTGCAACCCACTCCCGGGGTGGAGTCAGGGCTGGGGCCTCTGGTGGGTTGGGGGCCTGGTAGGAGGGGCGGAGGCAAGCGGCCGGCCCAGGATGGGCCCTCCTCAGCCGTGGGCCGTGGGGCGCAGCCTGACACTGGAGGGCGCCTGGGTGTGGGTGCGGCCCTGGCAGACACCCCAAGCAGGAGGGGCGCTGGGGACACTGGGGATCTCGGGGGTGTTGGTGGGGCTGCGCCTTGGCTCCCGCGGGCTCTGCTTCCCCGGAGGCGTGGCGCTTCCCCCAGGTCGGGGACCTCCCGGAGCCAACCTGCAGACGGCGTGTCCGGTGCGGCTGGAGCGCCGCCGCCATCTCCCCTTCTCCCCAGAGCCCGGAGGACCCGCGCGCTAAGCAGCCGCGTGGAACCCGGCTGGGCACCGAGCCCTCTGCTCCCGGCCCGCCGCAGGCAGAAGGCCACGCCGCGCGGGGGAGCGCGGGGGAGGCTGCGGCGCGTCCGGAGCAGACGGACTGCCGGGTGGACTGCCCGTGAGGCGGGGCGGACAGAGGCAGCAGGCCGGGCGGGAGGGCGGAAGGGCCACCTGCTCCGCTCCGGGGCCAGGGCGACGCCACACAGCCGAAGGCCGAAAGCCAGAGCCGGGGCTGCAGCCGCACAGCCCCGCGCGGCAGGGCCTGTGGCTCAAGCCTCACGCAGGACAGGGCGGGACAGAGGGCCCCACTGTCGGGGGGCTCTCCCGTGCACCCCGCTGCCGGAGACCTGGGGCTCCAGGCGCAGCCACCCTGGGGTGCAGCCACAGACAGGGAGACGCGCTCACACGCGGCGGCTGCCTCTCCCGGAGCGTCAGGGAGGCCGCCGGGCCCCCAGGAGCCGGGCCCCCCCAGGAGTCCGGCCGGCCCTGGCCAGCAGTGAGGCCGCCGGCCTGAGGAGGGGCCGGCGCCGTGTCCGGCTGTGGGGTGCGGGGTGCGGGCGCCGCCGCGAGCAGCTGAGACGCGGCCGGGCCGCTGGGCTCTGGGGAGACAGCGCGGAGGCCCCACCCCTGACAGGCCCTCTGGCGGCTCTCCCTGGGGGGCAGCGCCAGGCCCCCCGGTATGGCCTCTGGGGTGCCCCGCCCACAGCTCCGATGGGACCGTTTTCAGCCGTGCGGCTGGGCGGCCGTTGCGCGCCCGTCAGGTCGCAGCTCGCGCCTGGCTGGCCGCCCCGACCGAAGTGCAGTCACGTGTCGGGGCTCGGCGCGGGCACCCCCCAGGGCGCCCCCCAGCCCGCGGCCGTGCTGTCGGGGCACCGACCCCCGGGGTGGGGCACCAAGAAGGCGGCGGTTTCGGGGCTGCGCACCAACCCGAGCGCCGCCCCTGGGCCTGGGGTGCTCCCGTCTCCGGTCAAAATCGGGGTTCCGGTGGCGCGCGCCGGTGAGGCGGCGGGGGCGGGCGGCCTGCGGTCTCCGCGGGGGCGGGGGCGGGGGCGGGCGGCGGGCCCACGTCGGGAGGGGGGGGCCGCGCGTCCACGCGGCGGGGCCGGACAGTGGGCTCCGAGTGCAGCCCCGAGAACAGCCAGACAGAGGGCGCGGGCCCCGGACGCCCCAAGTGCCGCGCCCCGGGGGCGGTGCCGGGGGATCCCCGCGGCAGGGAGTGTGACCCCGCGCACGGGCGGGCTCTGCGGGCCTCGCAGGGAAGCGCCGCGGGCGAGGTCGGGCTGTCCCTCCGGGCTGTCCCCCCGGGCTGTCCCTCTGGTCTCCCCCATCAGGCTGTCCCCTCCGGGCTGTCCCCCCGGGCTGTCCCCTCCGGGCTGTCCCTCCGGGCTGTCTCCCCCATCAGGCTGTCCCCTCCGGGCTGTCCCCCCGGGCTGTCCCTCCGGGCTGTCCCTCTGGGCTCCCCCATCAGGCTGTCCCCTCCGGGCTGTCCCCCCGGGTTGTCCCCCCGGGCTGTCCCCTCCGGGCTGTCCCCCCGGGCTGTCCCTCTGGGCTGTCCCCTCCGGGCTGTCCCCCCGGGCTGTCCCTCTGGGCTGTCCCCTCCGGGCTGTCCCCCCGGGCTGTCCCACCGGGCTGTCCCCTCCGGGCTGTCCCCCCGGGCTGTCCCCCCGGGCTGCCCCCCCGGGCTGTCCCCCCGGGCTGTCCCCCCGGGCTGTCCCTCCGGTCTCCCCCATCAGGCTGTCCCCTCCGGGCTGTCCCCCCGGGCTGTCCCTCCGGGCTGTCCCCCCGGTCTGTCCCCTCTGGGCTGTCCCCCCGGGCTGTCCCCCGGGCTGTCCCCTCCGGGCTGTCCCCCCGGGCTGTCCCCCCGGGCTGTCCCTCCGGTCTCCCCATCAGGCTGTCCCCTCCGGGCTGTCCCCCGGGCTGTCCCCTCCGGGCTGTCCCCCCGGGCTGTCCCCCCGGGCTGTCCCCCGGGCTGTCCCCTCCGGGCTGTCCCCCCGGGCTGTCCCTCTGGGCTGTCCCCCCGGGCTGTCCCCCCGGGCTGTCCCCCGGGCTGTCCCTCCGGTCTCCCCCATCAGGCTGTCCCCCCGGGCTGTCCCCCCGGGCTGTCCCTCCGGGCTGTCCCCCGGGCTGTCCCCCGGGCTGTCCCTCCGGTCTCCCCATCGGGCTGTCCCCCGGGCTGCCCCTCCGGGCTGTTCCCCTGGGCTGTCCCCCGGGCTGTCCCCCGGGCTGTCCCTCCGGTCTCCCCCATCAGGCTGTCCCCTCCGGGCTGTCCCTCCGGGCTGTCCCCCTGGGCTGTCCCCCCGGGCTGTCCCCTCCGGGCTGTCCCCCCGGGCTGTCCCTCCGGTCTCCCCATCAGGCTGTCCCCTCCGGGCTGTCCCCCCGGGCTGTCCCCCGGGCTGCCCCCCGGGCTGTCCCCCCGGGCTGTCCCCCCGGGCTGTCCCTCCGGTCTCCCCCATCAGGCTGTCCCCTCCGGGCTGTCCCCCTGGGCTGTCCCCCGGGCTGTCCCCTCCGGGCTGTCCCCCCGGGCTGTCCCTCCGGTCTCCCCCATCGGGCTGTCCCCTCCGGGCTGTCCCTCCGGGCTGTCCCCCTGGGCTGTCCCCCCGGGCTGTCCCCCCGGGCTGTCCCCCCGGGCTGTCCCTCCGGTCTCCCCCATCAGGCTGTCCCCTCCGGGCTGTCCCTCCGGGCTGTCCCCTGGGCTGTCCCCCCGGGCTGTCCCCCCGGGCTGTCCCCCGGGCTGTCCCTCCGGTCTCCCCCATCAGGCTGTCCCCTCCGGGCTGTCCCTCCGGGCTGTCCCCTCCGGGCTGTCCCCTCCGGGCTGTCCCCCCGGGCTGCCCCTCCGGGCTGTCGGGTCAGGCGGGGCGCGGCTCCTGGAGGCCACGGGCACCTGCCCCGCGGGGCTGCCTCTGGGCGGGCGGGGCTCCCCGCAGGGAGGCGCGGCGGGCGGGGGGCGGCTGCGGGCGCCCGGGCTCCTCCCCAGGCGGGGCTGCGGGGCCGCCGCGCGCCCGCCCGCCCGCCTCCAGGGGCGCCCCTGCTCCCGCGGCCCTGCTCCCCGCGGCCGCGCGCCCGGAAGTCGTCGGGGCGCCCGGGGGGGCGGGGCGGGCACCCCGCGGCCGTCACTCCACCCCCTGCCCCCCCAGCGGAGCGGCGGCGCGGCCGGCGGCCCTCGGCGTGCACGGGCAGGATGGTGGCGCTGTACGACTACGACCCCCGCGAGAGCTCGCCCAACGTGGACGTGGAGGTGCGCGCGCCCCGGCGCCGGGGTTCGGGGGGCTCGGCGGACGCCGCCGCCGGACACGGAGGAGCGGCCGCCCGCGGCGGTGGCGGGGCCCGGGCGCGCGCCCGGAGCCGACGGTGCGGGTGTCGGGGGCGTGAGGCGTGCACGCGCGGTGCGGGGGCGTTTGGGGTTCATGAAGCTCGCATGCGCTTCGAGGGTGTCTGGGGGCGCGTGAAGCTCGCGCCCTTGGTGCAAGGGTTTCAGGGCGTGAGGCTTGCACGCTGGGGTGTCTGGGGGTTCAGGAGACTCGCATGCTCAGTGCAGGGGTGTCTAGGGAGGCCCTGCGCCCCAGCCAGGTCCGCCGGGCTCTGCGCTTTGCTGGCCTCCGAGGCTTAAAGACTTGACCCGGTGGAAGGGTGGAGAGCCCCCATCGCTGACCCTCATGGCCCTTGGGGACCTGCTGAGCTGGTGACCCCGGGGCAGCCTCGCTTGGCTGGACGCGGAGGTCAGCGCTCGGCAGGGAAGGGCGACCACCGCTGTGAGGAGGCCGAGCACTGGCTTTTCGGGGCGATGACTGCCCAGGAAAACCCTGTTAACTCCACGTCGCCGCCACAGGCTGAACTGACGTTTTGCACGGGGGACATCATCACCGTCTTCGGGGAAATCGATGAAGATGGATTTTACTACGTAAGTTTTTGAGCTTCCTGCCTCCTCCCACCCCCCCTCCCGGCCCCTCCCGGGGGCCCCGAGGTTGTCCGGGCACTCGGCTGGCTGAGCATCCGCCTGACCTCCCGGCTCCTCCTCCCGCCTGCCGGGCGCTTCCGGCGCCCAAAGTGGAAGTAAATGCAGCCGCGAGCTCGCGCTTGAAAACGTGGCCAGGACAGCGGTTGGCCGTGGTCTCTGGTGGCGGTGGGAGCCCTGGGGGGACGCGCCTCGAGGTGGCTCCAGCCCGCCCTGCCTAGGTGCTCGGCTTCTGCTAGGGAGGCAAAGGCGGCGGCGGCGGGTGGCCCTCGCGCCTGGGTGTCTTCCCCGCCCCCCGACTGTGTCCGTGCGGCCGGTCTCCCGGCCTCGGGTGACCGCCCGGGCACCGCGCAGCTTCCCCGTCCACACTCCAGCAGCAGCGCCCAGAGGCCGCCTCTCCGCCTCGCAGCGCCTCGCCCGAGGTGGGGCTCCAGAGCCTTCTTGAGCGGACGGAGTTGGCGGCTCGCGGCCCCGCCTTGTCTCCTGCTGGGCGGTGGCTCGGGCGCCTTTCCGTGGCCTCGTGGGTCCCTGTGCAGGCTCGCCGGTTGCCCGTTCTCACTGGGCTTTTGCTGCCAAGCTCCAGGGCCGGGGCCTCTGGACACCCCTCGGCCCCGGGCACCCGCCCCGCTGTCACCCGGGCGCTGTGCGCTGCCCTCGTCTCGCATCTCGGGCGGCCGCTTCAGGCTGGGAGGGGACAGACTCTGCGCGAGGCGGTGGCCCAGAGGCCCAGGCGGCAGCGCCCTTCGCCGCGGTGTGTGGCGGGCACGGAGGGCGCAGCAGTCTCGGGGGCAGCGGGGCCTCCTGGCGTCACGCTCACCGGGAGGCCGAGCGGGCGGGCTCCAGCCCTGCCTGCGGGAGTCACCTGGCCTCCTACCGTGTCCCGGTGGGTCGGGGCGCCGAGCGCAGCAGGGCTGAGGACCCCTGAGGGAGGCGGTCCCCAGGGTGGGCTGCCGGACCTTGGGCCGGGGCGGGCGCTGTGACCAGGCGGTGTGGAGGCACTCGCGCCTCGGGGTTCTCCTGCGGCCGCCCGCTCCGAGCCTGGTGCGCACCCTGGCTCGGTGCAGACGGGGCTTCCGGGGGCCGCGCCGCTCACCTCTGCGCTGTTCCAGGGGGAGCTGAACGGGCAGAAGGGCCTGGTGCCCTCCAACTTCCTGGAGGAGGTGCCTGACGACGTGGAGGTCTACCTGTCGGACGCGCCCTCGCACTACTCCCAGGACGCCCCAGCGCGCGCCAAGGCCAAGAGGGTAAGTGGTCCCCGCGGGGCCCCTGCGCCCACCCCCGCGCCAAGCGCCCCGCAGCTCCGCCTGGTCTCCCCCACCGGGGGCCGGAACACAAAGACCCCGAGTTCTCTCTGCCCGTCCATGGGGCTTGAGCCCGAAAGCCCGAGGCTGGGCGCCGAGCAGGGCGCCGCCGCCCCCCCCGGGGCGCAGGGTCGTGGCCGAGGCCAGAGCGCCCGCGGTGACCGCCAGGGAACACTCATGGTCAGCCTCATCTTTCTTTTCCTTCATCGCCGCGGGTTTCCTATAGCCTGTGTTCATGTGTGTATTTTTATTTCTTTGCTCATCTGCTTGGAAACAGAAGAAGAGTGTTCATTTCACACCCTAAGCAGGCCCCGTAGCCTTCACGTGAGTGGCCACCGAAGACCCCGTAGCCATACCAGCTTCCGCTCCCTGGCGGCCGGACGCGGCGGGCTCGGGGTCGCTGTGGGGCTGCGGGAATAAGAAATATGTCTCTCGAGGCCGCTGGGCCCGGAGTGCCGGCCTGATGCTCCCGGGGCCCCGCGACCGGGCCGGCGGCGCGGGCTCCTCTCCCAGCGTCCGCGGCAGCGGATTTGAGGCCGTCCCTGGGGACATATTTCTTAGAGGCCGACGGTCCGTGCCCGCGGCGAGTGTCCCCGTGTCCGCTCCCGCCTCGGCCCACATTGCATTGTCAGCCCCTCTTGGAAAAGCACAACCTCGCACGTTTACCAGGACACCCCCCTTTAAGGCACAGGCGCCGGCCGCGGGCTGGGGCACGTGCTGGGTCGGGGCGCCCCGCGGCGCGGGGCAATGCAATGCGGGCCGGCGGAGGCCCAGGGCGGCGGCAGCGCGATGGTCTCTCCGGGTGCGCTTCGGGACGCTTGGCAGGTGTTCTCCGTGAGACTAGGCCTTGGCTTCCAGCCCCAGCAGCTTAAAGCCCCGCCGGGCACGGCGCCCGCCGGAGCCGCGCAGCCCTAGGGCGCGTCCGGCCGCCACAGCGCGCGGAGCCCCGGGCCACGGAAGGGGCGCGTGGGGAGCCCCGCCGCCCCGGGGAGCGGACGCAGCCGCCGCGCGGGCCTTAAGCTTCCCGGCTGGCAGTCAAGGCTGAGCTAGTTTTCCTCTCCCCGCCCCCGCGCCATCCGCAGCGCCCCGCAGTGCGCCTTGGCAGGGGCGGGCCCGGGGGGCCACGTAGTTTCCAGACACGCCCCGCGGCGGGCCTCTGTGCCGCCCGGCCCGGGCGCCTGCGGTCAGGGCCGGCCCGCTCTCGCCGGCCACGGCCACCCTCCCGGAGCCGGGCCGGCCCAGGGGGCGGCTGCGCGGGGTCCCTGGTGCTCCTCCGGGGTGGGGGTCGCCGAGCGGAGGGTTGCGGCGCGCACGCCCTCACTAAACTCTCACGATGTACCTACCAGGTTCCTCCTGAGGGTTCAGGTACAGCAAGGAGCGCGCCGCCCCCCACAGCCCAGCTCCATTCGGGGTCACCTACGTCCGCTGTGGGTACTGGTAGTCCCGGGCGAGGCAGGGAAAGGGCCTCGAGAAGGAAACAGGGGCTGCTTTCCAAAGGCAAGAAACTGCTGAAAAGGCTGGGCGCGGTGAAATGACCCTGCGGCGGGACAACCTCCAACCCTGTCGCTCCCCTTACGCCCCAACTAGGGCTCTCGTGACTCAAGCCCTTGCTAGCCCCCCCACCCCGTAGAGAATGCACTTTGCACGCCCGCGCGGCCGGGCCAGGACAGCCGTGTGCCCGCCGGGGCCCGGGCCTGGCACCTGGCGCCGGGGCCCAGAGGCGCTCCCGGCCCGCGCGCCCCGGGCTCGCCCCGCCTGGGACGCAGCCTGGGGGTGGCCAGCGCCCGAGAGGACCGGTTCCGCCCCCCACGCTTGTTGCCTCACCGCCCTGGCCGCCTGCGGGGGGCCGGCGCCGCGTCCGCCTCCCGACGCCCGGTCTGTGCTCAATAAAGCCGCAGTGTGCACTCGTGTGTGTCGTGTCCGCCGCGCCCCGCGCCCGCCCCACCTCGCGCCCGCCCGGCCGCGCGCCTCCTCGGCTCCCCGACCCGGGAGAAGCGCCGCTGCTGGGTCGAGCCCGCGGCGCCATCTCTGCCCCCGCCCCGCACACGCAGGGCCGCCCTCCTCCGCCCTCGGACCGCGCCTGCAGCGCCCCCCAGGCCTCGGCGGCCCCTTTTGTAACTCTCGTTCACCCGCAAACCGTTTTTACTCTTTATACACTTTCCAGACTGCCTTTCTCCCGTGACTCGTGGAGGGTTACGTGCGAGGCCGGGCTCCCCGGGGCTCCAGACACCCTGCTGAGGGGCCGGCGCTGTGGGGGCCAGGCGCGCCGAGCCCCGGACTGTGTGGGTGTGCGCGCGTGCGCAGCGTGTCAGATATTTTATAGAAATAAAACTTGTTATTTTATGCAACACTGTTTCGGCCGCATTTTGTTTTAGACGCTTTTCTAGGCAGCAAAACTGGACCCCCCTCCTGCACGTGCACGCAGAGGCTCTGGCTGCCCGGGGGGCTCCCTCCTGAGGGGGTCGTGACCAGCTCGGGGTCACCCTGCTGCCCACAGCCGGCTCCCGGGCTGGCACAGGCCTCGGCAGTGGGGCCCTTGAGCTGCCGCTGCAGCCAGGAGGGAGAACCCGCTGGGTGTGGGCCTCTGGGGGCCGAACCGGGGCCCTGAGGCTGAGGACTGGGGGGGGCTGACACCCAGAGCCCAGGGGGTGGGGGGGCTGGCGGTGCCACCAGCAGCAGTCAGACCCCCCTCGCCTGCAGACCCGGAGGAGCCAGGCTCCAGGGGTCACGGAAGGTGTGGGAACGGGCTGCTGCTCAGGAGGGGCGCCCAGAGCCCTGGGGCGGAGTGAGGCAGACTGTGGGGTGCCCGGCACTCGCAGCGGCTGCCCCTGCCGGGCGGGGACTCGTGTCTGGATGGAGGGTGCCAGCTTGAATCAAACCTTAGAGAAAACTACCCGAAGACGCGTCACGGCGTCAGGCTTTCCCACACACAGCGGGCAGGGGCGGCGTGAACAGGTGCTAGGAGCACCCCGAGGGCCCCGCGAGCCTTGGGGGATGGGGCTGGACGCCCGCGAGGGGCTGGCTGCGGCAGGGTGCCCGCCCGGAGGACCCGGGCGGCTCAGGAGGCGGCGGCCACAGGCAGGCCGGGCCCGGCTCCCCCTCTGGGGCTCCCCTCCGGGTTACCATTTCTTGACTGATGGCCACGGGCTCGCCTCCCCCCACCACCTCCCCGGTTCCAAGGTGTGGAGGGTGCGGGCCGGGCCCCCTTCCCAAAGCCCCCGAGGAGGAGGCCGCTGCCGACACCGCGCAGAGGCAGGCAGAACCGGGAGGCGGCCCCACCGCCGCCCCGCTCCAAGGGTCTGTCGGGTGCAGCCCCCGTCGGCGGGCACGCCTGCCGCAGCGCGACCCCGGGGGGCGGGCCGCCAGCGTGTGCCCCGGTGCAAGGTGGCGCGTGTCCGGCCCCTTCTCCCGCCGGGACCGTGCGGGCGTCCTCTGCGCTGCGGCTGGTCCACAAGCACCGCTGACCAGCGGCCTTAGAGGGCGCTGAGGACCATCAAGCCCGTCGCCTTCGGGGCGCGGGCCAGAGCCTGCTGCGCACCAGGCCGCGGCGGCTCGGCTGCCCGCCAGCGACGGGAACCACCCCGGCGCCCAGGTCACCCGCCGCGGCCGGGCCGGTGCGGGCGGCGCCCATCCCCGAGGCTCCTGGCGCTGCCCCCGCCGTCAGGCGAGCAGGTGAAGGCACCCGAGCAAAGAGCCGAGAGCACGCTACCAGCTCCGAGAACCGGGGGGAGCCCGAGCGCGGCGGCCCCCGCAGGCAGGCCCCACGCGGAGCCCGGGCCCGGGGGCGCGGCCAGGACGTCCCAGAAACCCAGAAACGGAGGCCGGGCCGCCCCCTGGAGGGCGCCTTCCCACGCAGGGCGGCTCGCCCGGTGAACAGGAGACGCAAGTGTTTTCAGTAAAAGCAAAAGCGAAAGCTACGCCGCTGCCCACGCACGGTGGAAATCCCAGCCGTTTTATTTTACAGCAGACCATCCCGGCCGCGGGGCAAAATCAATAGGAACGTTCACGTGAACCCCTGGCCTTCCGCTAAAGGGCCCTAAAATATTTCATTGGATGTAAATTTAAAACTTTTCAACTACCTGTTTCTGAAGCCCCCACACCCCCTACCCCCCAAATGAAACCGAAAAGGCGCCCGCTCTGTCGGCCGCGCTCCCCCCCGCCCCCCACGGCGGGCTCGGGCGGCTTTTCCCTTTAAAACGCGCCATCACAGGCCCCAACAAAACCCCACCGGGCCCGGCCTCCCGCGGCGCCTCCCGCCTTTACATTCAAAACAGAAACATTTCAAACGTGAGGTCAACAAAGGGTGGCGGACCGGCTCACCCCGGAGAGTCCTTGGAGGTCAGCCCCTCCGAGTCTGCTGACGACGTGAGGTCCCCGTCCACGTTTTCCCCAAAATCAACAAAAAATTCTCAACATGCTTACGAGAAGCCAACAAGGTAAAATGTACAACCTTAATGTTTACCCCTAAGCCCGTGAACAGCAACGGACAGCAGGCGCCAGAGCCCCGGGCCGGCCCCGGGAAGCCTCGCGGGAGAGACAAGGGCTGCCCGAGGCAAGAGCAGCTCACAACCGTCCCAGCCGGGCCTCCGGAGAAGCGCCGCGCCGCTCCTGCGGCTAGAGGTAGTACAGGCGGTTGGACAGCGACAGGTTGGGCTCCCGGTGGATGCTCTGGCCCACGAGGAAGGCCAGCTTGTGCGCGTACTGGCAGGGGGCGGGGACGCGAATCACGCCCTGGCGGGGAGGAGAAGGGCTGTTACGCTGGGCGGCAGCCTCGGGCACACCCCGGGGCGCCAGGCCGGGCACTGACCGGCCAGTTGTAGTAGACGTGGCACAGCTTGTAGGTGAGCCTCTGGATGTGGTCCGGCTTCAGGCCGCTGCTGTCGTAGATGACGTTGTAGTGCGTGGGGGACACGCTGCCGCTGCGCACGGCCTGGCTGACGATGAAGAAGTCGTACCTGCGGGGGCAGAGGGCGCCCCGCGCGGGAGCTGTGTCTCCGCGGGGGCTGGAAGCCGACCCTGGCTCCTTCCCGTCGCGCCCCGGTCGCCACCCCTCAGACTCTGCTGTGCCTGCTCCTGGCGCCTGCCGGCCCCGGGGCTGCGGGCTGTGCTCGGGGCGGGGGTGCGGCTGGACGGAGGCGGGACGCAGCGGCAGGGCGGACAGTTCTGGGCCCGGGGGTACAGCGGGACAGACTCCAGGCGCCGCCCCCACCCCGGAGCGGGAAGGGAGCCTGGTCCCGGGCACAGCCGCCCCCCTGAACGGGCATGGGCACGGGGCTGCCCGCCTTGGGCGGTCCCCGCTGTTACGTGACACAGGGGGATTCGCTCGAGGCCTCCCATGCGAAGGCTGGCCTAGGGGGACAGAGGCCGTGAGGGGGGAGGGGCCCGGCGGGCGGGACGATGGGGCGCACGCGTCACCGTGTCCACGGCAGCGACACGCGCTGACTCAGAGCTGACCAGCAGCAGACCCCAGGGTTTTAAAAGGAGGAGGGGTTCAAAGAGGTGAACGGACAAGGCCCACCCCAAGAACAGAGCCGGAGCCGCCAGGAAGCCTGGCCGTCCCACGCACGGGCGCTGCAGGCAGACGACCCCGCTCTCGGGCAAAGTGGACGCCTCCAGGCCGAGCAGCCCAGCAGCCGCGCGGCTCAAGCAGCCTCTAGCGAGGAACCTTGCCACCCCCCCATGGAACCTGATTGTGCTGCGCCTGTCCCCGCAGGCGTGTCCTCGCTCAGGGCGCCCCGGCCTCCGAGCGCCGGGCAGCAGCACCATCACGAAGGGCCCTTGCTCGGGGTGGAGCGGAGCGCGGCTTCCTACCTAGTGCCCTACGCCTTCCTGGCGGAATCCCCCCCTCGGGGAGAACCTCAACATCTGCCTCAGGCAGCGACACCCCAGGGGCAGCCCTCGGCACACCCACCGCCGGGCACAGGCCTGGCTCAGCAGACGAGCGCTGCACCCAGCACCCAGCAGGGCGCCTCCCTTCCCCGGGCCACCCCCAGCCTGGCGCCGTTGCCCGACCCTCGCTGCCCTTTGCAAGGATGGAGCGCGCCCTTCCCTGGGAGGACAAGAGCCTGAGGCACACACTGGGGGGCACGCCCGAGCCCCGACCCGCTCCCTGCACAGCCCCGCGTGGCTCGGAGAGGCCAAGGGGGTCAGGCCGCCGCCCTTGGGGCTGCTCGGGAGCGCAGGCTGCTCAGCGTAACTTCCTCAGCTGGCGTTGGGCCGGCAGGCGCACGACAGGGCCTCTGGCTCAGGTCAAGCGTCAAGTCCCGACTAGTAAGCGAGTCGCAGGGCGCGGGGCACACGGCCGGGCTGGGGCGAGCCCGCCTCCACGCCGCTGTCCAGAGCCCGCTGCTCGCCCCTGACAAGCCAGCGCGTCGCGGCTTCAGTCACAGCACCAGGGCGGGCCAGCTGAGGGCCTCGGTGCGGGTGCCGCGCCCCACAGCCCGGCCTGCGGCAGCGCCCCCCCCCCAGCACTCACCACTCGGGCCTGGTGACCTCCACGTCAATGACCGTCCCGGGCAGAGGGTTCTGGAGTCGCCCTCCGGACTGCGCGAAGAATCTGGCGTTGACGCGTTTCTTCACCACGATCACCGTCAGCCTGGGGCTGAGAGGACGGCAGCGTCACTGCGTTCGCTCAGGCGCCCGTCCGCTCCCCTTCAGGAGACACGCCCGTCCGGGGCACGGGATCTACCCGAGCCGGGGAAGGGAGTCGTGACTCGGGAGGCCCGGGGTCAGCCGTGGGTAGAAAGCGCCAGTGGCCGACGCGCCGGCAGCGGGGACACCGGGGCTGACCTGTCTCAGCGGCTGGTCGAGCGCGTCTCACCACAGCGGGTGGCCCGGCGGCCTCCGGCCCCGCCTTGCATACGCCCCAGGGCGCTGTCCGCGCGCCCCACGCTTGCCGGGTCAGCGGGCGGCGATCAGAGCCAACTGACTGCTTTTCAGAATGCTGCTTCGCAAACGCCGGGGCAGTGGCCTCTGGCCCTCCTCGGCTCCCCACCGCCCCGCCCGCTCCTCCGCGGCTCTCCCGGCCCCTCGAGAACTTTCAGGCGACCCAGATCAAACCCCCGGCCCTGTCTGGGAGGCGGCCTGAGTGCGTGGCGTGCAGTCACCCCACCACCGTCCACACCCCCCACCCCATGCCCCCAGCGGCCCAGCGCCTCCGACAGCCTCGCCCGCACCTGCTCATCTGGGACGAAGGCAGCGCGCCCGCCAGCGCCGCCCCCTCCGAGCAGCCCGCGCTCCGCCAGGTCAGGCCCGGTGCTGGGGCCCAGCACGCTTTGGGGCACAAATACTCGAGCTGGCGGTGGCTACTCTGTGACCCCGCACAGCAGCAGTGACCAAGGGCAGGGGCGGTGGGGGTCGTGCTGAGACAGGAGACTCCCCAGAAACGTTGCCCCCTGCCAGCCGGTGCCGCGCCCCACACTGCCCGTGCGGCTGCGTGACCCGCTCTTGCTCCAGCACCAGGTCAGCTGAGCCGCCTCCCTGTACAGAGTCCGCGCCTGCTTCTCCGGCGAGCCGCCGACACACCCGCGCCCCGGCCTCCACCTCAGCGCTGCGGGCCTTCCCCCGGGGCCCAGGATGGGTGGATGGTGCCGCGGGCGCTGGCCCTGGAGCAGCAGTGCGGCCACTGTCCTCTGGTCCTGCCAGCAAGCCGGGGCCCGCCCCCACACAGCAGCCAGGCCTGAGGCCCGCTCGGGCCCCCGGCACCAGCAGGGTGCACAGCAGCTCCGGCAGGCAGCTCCGCGGGCCAGCCCACCCTCCTGCTCCAGTACTCCTGCCAGCCAAGGTGCTGGGCCCTGCCACCGAGCCTCACGGGGGCCGGGCACCCCTCCTTAGGGGCGTGTTCTGCCAGCCTTGCGCGAACCAACCCAGAGGCTCACGCGCCTGGAAGCAGACGCGGCACGGCAGGGCCAGGCCATGCCCCAGCACCCTGCGCGGCCTCCCCAGGCAGCTCCGGGAGCGCCGCTGGGACCTCTGCCCTCTCGTGTCCCCCAGGTGTGAGGGAAAAGGCAGCGAAGACCAGAAGATCCCGAGTGCGCGAGTGGAAAGACCGGGAAGGCAGCGGCGCGCGGCACCCCCATGCCTCCCTCGAGCGTCAGGCCGCCAAGCCGGGCTGACCGTGCTCTGGCACCGGGCCACGCTTCTGGCGGAAGACTCAAGCGCCACAGGGCGCGGGAAAGAGCGTCACTGTCCCTCCCGAAACAGTCTGGAAATGCCGCTTAACCGGGCACAGTCGCTTTTAGAGATGGACTCACCCGACCTGCCCGAGAACGTGCTGGCGTAAGCCTCGCGCCGGAGACGCGCAGGGAGTCAGCACCCCTTCCCGAGTCGGCACCTGGGGTCTGGCCAAAGCTGCGCCCCGATCCCGGCACCCGCGGGTGCCTCAGCCTCACCCCCGAGCTGTGGCCGAGGGCTGCAGGGCGGCGCTTGTTTCCTGGCAGAAGTGCTTAAGGACACGTGCAAGCGCGTCGCCCCCCAGACGGCCCCGGCACCCTTAGTCAAGCCCGCGTCCCGCGTTATTCCGCACTGAACTCTCGCTGCGACGGCTCCGAGCTCGGCAGCCAGCGGGGCCGGATGGCAGAGGGCGGAGATCAGCCTGGGCCTCGCAGGAGAGCCACGGCAGCACTCGGGGGACGAAGGTGCCCCAAGCACCTCCGCAGGGAAAGGGAACCCCGACCCCCAAGGCCAGACGTGCCGCCCGCTGCCCCTATCGCGCACCAGCCCCCCGCGCCCCCAGAGCTGGCACGAGCAGTCACCGCGCGAGGGAGCCAAGGAAAGCAGCGTGGGCCCCGGGGACACTCCCTCCCCAGCCGGCCGTGGGGGCCTGCGGCTGTCCTGGAGCCCCCCGGCCGGCCCGGAGGTGGCAGGGACACCCCTCCCCGGGTGCTCCACAGCGGCCCCGCGAGCCGTTGCCACCGGACGCGCCCGCCCGGTGAGGGTCTCACTGATCCTTTCACGGATCACGCCGAAGGCAGTCACGGAGAGACGGCGCCTCCCGCCGCGCTCACTTGTAGCCTCTGCCGACGGACTTCAGGCAGTCCAGGAACTGTGGCACCTCGTAGTTGACCAGGGTCTTGAGCTGCCCGTCGCCCACGCCGTCGCGGTACACCACGATGCGGCTCGGCATGTACTCGTTGCAGCTGTTCCAAGCCCGCAGGGCCGCTGAAAGACAGGAGGGCTGTAAACACGCGCACGGCAGAGGAGGGGCGTTTCTCCTACGTCCGGGGCATTCCCCAAGGGTCGCAGCTCTTAGATAATGCCCCGAAGGCCCTGTGACCGGCCCGCGCGCGCTCGGACCGACCTTGCAAGCAGACCTTGAGCCCGTCGACCAGCTCCTGCCCGCGGTCTTGGAACACGCAGCGCGAGAACCAGCTGTCGGAGAGAACCGAACGTGAGGACGCGGCGCCTGGACATCTGCCGTGTGACCCTGGTCGTCTGCTTTGCTCCAGCCGTCCACGCTCCCGAGCTCCCTACGGGTGGTGCTCGCCGAGCCCTACGCAGCGGCACTAGGCCGCGGCAGAGCCAAAGACGCCGCAGACCGAGTCCTCCTCGGTCTTCACACAGCGCGCTCCACGCTGCGGGAGGCGCGGGCCTGCACCCAGCACGCCGCGGGGCTCGGAGCAGCCACACCTCTGCCAGACAGAGCCCTCGGGGCGCCCGGCAGGAGGCAGCACCCATAGGCTTGCTTCCGCCCTTCCTGTCTTGGCTCCCCGCGTCCCGGGAACAGCAAGGAAAACCTCACTGTGCGCGACACGGCGGCCGGGGCTGCGGAAGAGCCTTTCTGGAATAGTGTCGGGGCGCCTGGCGTTACATGTCGGGGGTCAATTAGAAAGTATCAAAGATGTTTTCAGGGATAGTCACATTTCATGAGCCCCCCCCCCCCGAAACAGTAATGACATCCCCTGAAACACATCAGGCGATCGCAGAGCGGGGGCGGGAGGTACAGTGGGGTAACTAACGACTCTCTCCTAACGTTTCTGCGGGACTTCATGTAAGACAAAGCACCCGTTAGAAGACCCAACACAGCTCGGGCGCCCGCCCCCAGGCCCCCAGCGGCCCTCTCACCGGGTCATCCCCTCGTTGATGCTCGCCACAAACCCGGCAATGGACCTCCGCCCGGCGGTGGTGTCGTGGTAGCAGTCGATGCCGACGATCATGGCCAGCTTCAGCTGCACCAGAGGGTCACCGTTCAGACACCGCGGCCGGCGGCGCCGTCCAGGGAGCCCACTCCCGGACGCGAGGACGCGTGCACGCGCCCGCCCAGCCACTCACAGGCATGTCGACCCTCCAGAGCTCGCCGCCCATCTTGCAGTTCATCTGCAGGGCGATCTTCGTGGCGATGGCCATGACGGTCTGCTGCTTGCCGAGGGTCCGCGCCACCACGCACTGGCTGGGGGTGGGGCAGTCCGTGCACAGGTACTTTTTAATGGCGTCGTATTTGTCTTTCCGGTTACTCGACAACAGACAGACAACCTGAAAGCAGACAGGGCACCTTCGCCACAGGAAACGGACCTTCAAGCTCCAGGAAGCAGTCGGCGCCGCCCTCTGCGGGCGAGGCGGCGAGCACGGCTGCTGCTCCTGCCACAGCCCTCGCCCTGCCGGCTCTGGAGGCTGCTTGTCGCGTCCGACAAGTGACAGACGCTGGTGAAGGAGACGAATGAGGCCGGCAGGCCGGCCACTCGGTGAGATGCCGCGACCCCCTGCGCGCAAGGCAGACGCGCTCTGGGGCCGGCGTGGGCCACGCGGATGCAGCAACGGGACAAGATGCATCAGGGGCAGCTTAAAGGTGGACAAAGAAGGTTTTCCAAGATGGTCAGTTCTCAGTTACTCACAATCCACCCGGTATCGTGACTGCCAAGCCTTTAAAGCCCTCGCTTGAGACTATGAAATGTCTATGAAAACTACGAAATTTCTAGGAAGCCCGTGGACAATTCTGAGGACAAAGTGGCCCAAGATAAATATTCCCTCTCCAAAACAGGCTGATGTTGCTTAAAAGGCACAGAGTCCCAGTTACCAGCTGCGCGAGTGCTGGGGTCCGACGCCGCCTGGCCGCGGGGACGTGCAGCGTCACGGACTCGAAAGGGGACGGTGGGGGTTCTCATCCCACCCCCACAGGAGTGTGAGGTGGAGGGGTTACCTGGCCCTCGTGGGGAGACTGGCAACACTCACACACGTCACATCACCACGCTGTCTGTTCACGCGTGTGCCGTGTCCAGTACAGCTCAGTGAGGTGGAAAACCCGCAGGCCCAGGCTCCTGTCCCAGCTCTGGGGCCAGCGCAAGTTGTGGGGTAAATCCAACTCGTGACCTACTTGATGAACTTTCCAATTCGCATTCCAGATTATCTTTCTGTTCTATGCCCCCCCCCCCCACCGAGTCCCGTGCCCCCTCAGGTGAGCATGCGAGGATCTGCCTGGGGCTCTGCTACAGGAAAGGCCGCAGTGGGGGCAGAGTCATGCGCTCGCAGAGACCCCACAAACGTGACTCACCCTCTTGGATTTCTCGACTGTCTCCCGCGCCCCTCCTTGCACACCACCCTTCCCGCCGCCCGCGCCGACAGGCGAGCGCATCAGAGGCGAAGCCACAGGCCGGGGGAGCGCGGCTCCATTTCTGTTTTCCAACTTTCCAGCCGATTTGGATGCAAGCAGCTCCCGAAGCTCTGGTTCGTCTGCACGCGCAGACATCTGCCGTCCCACCCCACCCCACCCAAGACGTTTCCACTCATTCACTCTGTGTCCTGAACAACTCGTTGTGGCGATTACTTTCTGCCTTGCTTTCCCCCCAAATTTCTGTAGGGATTAAAATCTGATTCAGAATAAACCAACAAGAGCTCATTTTTCTCCATCTCCTTCCTCACTTCCTGCATCACAACCATTCCTAGGACTTCAAGGAGAGGGCGTGTTCGCCTGGCCCCTTTGTGAAGGTAAAATGTACTCTGGGGCCAGTTTGGGAAGCTAACAGTGACTTCTGAAAAATGGGCTCGAGCCGTCGGCATTAAGAAACACTCCTGTGGAACAGGCAGCTCGTGGCGGGACGGCCGCTCAGGACCGGTGACTTACGATCTGGGTGTCCGACGTGACTTTCTGCTGCAAGACTCTCAAATAGGCTTCGGTCCTGTCATCCACTTCGATCCTAGAAGGAAGTTCATAATCCAGTCTTCAGAGCAGGGAGACGCAGCACGCCCACAGACTTCCTACATTACACCACACACACGTTTCTGGACCACACAAGCGACAGCGGGCACAGTCACCTAGACAGAAGGCTGCTTCTAGCCCCGCGACAGCCAACGCCTCAGCCCGCGCGGTGCCCCCGCCCGTCTGCCACCACGTTCCTGGTCACCCCGTGCCAGGGAACATCAGATCGTTACATGATCCACTTAGTGTTTTTAATAGCTGTATCGCTTTCGACTTCCCACACCCTCCGGGTGACCACTAATTAATTTTCAGAGTAGAAATGACGTGATCAACTTACATGATTGCTTTTTTCATTTGTATGCCCATGGCTGGTGTAACTTTAAATAGATTTTGTATCAATGAATTGGCTGCTTCATAATTTCTTCGAGTATAGATCAACAGCCAGTTATCTAGCGGCTTAACGCTAATTAACGGTGCCCCTCTGGTTTCCTTAGACCAATCTGCAAACTGTGGGTTGTAATCAAACTAGAAGAGAGTTCAGAGACATGTAAATTCCAACAAAGTTCTCAGCGATGGAGCCAAACAGACGTCAGTAACGCTATCATGGCAGATTTTGAACTGTCAATTCTACTCTTAAAAGTGGACTCTCAGGAACGACAGACACCCTGGGGGGAGACGACAACGCACCCAGAGGACAACGGCGACCTGCCCTAAGCCAGACCCACGCTCACAGCCTGTCCGCGCCCGGTGCTCTGCTAAGGGCTTCGCGGCTCTCGTTCATCGTTTCTAAGATCTTACAAGCTCGCTGTTACTTCTCTTATAACAAGGACACACAAAAACCAGGAATCCGGAAGCTAGGCAACCTGCTGGAGACGTCAGCTGATGAACTGAAGCCGCCAGACACCTGGCGGGGGGGCAGACAGAACTACACAGCAGGCCCGGCCGCTGACACGCCCCCCACCTCCCCACCAGCCTCTCCTGGGGGTGGACACGTCTGAGTCCTCAGAGGAGAATAAAACAAGCCCAGGGGCAGCACTATGCTGCGCGGGTAGGTTACTGCTTTCATAACACTGGCACGTCGGGAAGGGCACAGCTTTCCGCAGAAGCACTGCCAGAGGCAAGGCGCCGGTCCAGACAGACATCCCCACAAACGGCCCCGCAGAAGCGAAGTCGATGAAGCCGGAGTCCCCACGTGAAAGGTCACTTCCGTGGCAGACAAAACCGTCCACCCAGTTAGCGCCTCGGCTCTTCTGCGCCCTAACTCAGGCTATTGAAAGGCAGTGAGGCCGCCTTTAGCTCAGTCCCATGGACTGTCTCGGGCCGAGCCCCACGGCTCTCGCCCGGCGCCCCCTCCTCTGCCTGCGAGGCTGGCGCTCACCTGGGTTGCAGGGGAGGAGAAAGGCGTGGGGAGGACTTTGAGGCACCTGACTGGGACTCTGGCCCAAATCTGACCTGACAATTGTAAGAACTGCCTTACTGTTTTTCCACCTTGGTGAATCTTTTCTGCTTGCAAAATTCTTCCCGAGAAAGACAGTAAGTTGGAGTCAAAGCTCAATCCCCAGTCTCGGAGCTCTCTCTGCACGTTGTCGTCTCTGTAAATGCAACACATTCAACTTAAGGAAGCAAAGCACAAACTCACACGCGTGCAAACAGAGGTCCGGGCCCCCAGCCACTGCCTGTGCCTCTCCCAGGGGAGTCTGAGGAGGACTCAGGCAGGCAGAGGCTCCTCTAGCTTTGTGACGTCGCTGAGGGTAAACGTCTCGTGCCCAAGTCATCTCCTCCAAGCACCCCCCGCACCCCCCCATGGAGCGGGTGGAAATAGGTCTGTCCAAAGCCGCCTCCTTCCTGTTCCGCTCATCACATCTTTCTAAGGAAACAGGCCGGGCTGCAGAGCTCCACTCTCTTCTTCCCGGGAGACGGCGGCCTTGCCCAAGCGTGCCAGGACAAGCCCACCCAAGCACCGCGGACGCAAGGACCGCGCAGGGCCGCGTCACCGCCTCCCCTAAGAGCCCCTTCCCGAACCCGGAGACCACGGGGCTGAAGCCGCGCGCGGGCCCCGTGGGCCGCTTACTTGTGGATGTAGTCGATGAGTCTTCCCACCTCGCGCTGCCTCTGCTCTGGGGTCAGCCTGGTGTGAACAGCTAAGTCTTTCATCACATTAAAGTCATTACGCATTTTATCAGTGAGACCTTTGAACAATGACACATGGAAAGGCTATGGTTAAAGAATCAGAAATCGTGCCTACGATCTGCAGAGCAGTGTGGCGAGAAGCTAAACGAGAGCTCCAAGGCGAGGCAGCCGTTTCCCAGCTTCGATGGGGCTGAGGGGCGTGAGGAACGTTCGCCGCCTTCCAACCAGAACGTGCGATTGTCTGGGGGCTCATCCGGGCAAACACAAGTCAAGGTACCTGTGAGGTAGCAGAGCTCGGGGATGAGCATGGCGGGGCCCGGCAAGGTGCCACCCGGGCCTCTCCTCCGCTTGGGCTGACTGACCAACACCGGCTGCTTCAAGTCCGTGATCTCTTGGTTGTATTGCTAGTCGAGAAAAGAAGCATCACTGTTCAGTCAGCGCGTCTGGGAACATGTCTGGACAAAAGGAGGTTTGGTTTTCTTAAATGAATGACTGATGCCAAGAGCGAGCGCAGGCCGTCGTCGCCACGCCGCGGGGAGCACGCTGTGCCGGGCGGCGCGTTTTCTCAGTGTGCGAGTGTTTAGCTGAGCCTGAGTGGTGAGTAACCGGGGCCCTCGAGACTAGAAGGGGTGGATGGTGAAGGCACCTCGGGGGCAAGGCTGTGCGCCCACGCAGAGAGCCCCGTCTCTGGGTGGGGCTGCAGGGCTGGGTCTGAGCGGCCCGTGGCTTCTTCAGTCCCCACACCCCAGGGCCCTCACCCGGGCCGCGCCAGGCACACAGGCCTTTTCGGAAAGGACTTCCCTGCACCACGCAGAGCGCTGCACGGCCCGGGGGAGTGCGCCGGTGTGGCCGTGGGGATGGCCCCGTTGGGTCCCCCAGGGCCTCGCGGAACGAGCCAGCAGATGAGCTCAGATCTGCAGAGGCTGAGTCAGAAATCGGGGTGCCACTGGCAGACGCCTGAAGTCTGAGCAGACGAGAGATCAGGGAGGGAGTAACTCGGAAGTCACTGGGCCCCGGGCGGCGGGGCTTCTAGGGATGGCAACACCGCAAGGGCACCTCATGGAGGGAAACTCGGGCGCTGTCAGGAGAGCGCGCCCTGACTTGCTGCAGGCTCAAACTTTCAGCTGGTTTCTGCGCTTCGCTCGCTGTTGACCCGTCAGCCCTTCCCACCCTGGCCACGCTCCTTACGGCCACAGCACAGGCTAAGGCTCACTTCTCCGAGCAGCGTCGGGGCCCCGGAGAACCGGCGTGCGGCGTGGTGGGGGTGCACACGGGTGCGGGGAATGAGAGGGGAGTCGAGCCGAGATGACTCTTGGCCTGAATTCACTTTGCCCAGAAAAAGACCAGGTTCTAGCGCTGCTGCTCACAGAACGCCTTTCCCTCCAGGGCGCAGCCGGCCCTGTCACCCGCCGTGAGTCGTTCAAGCTCAGACAGTGGCCGACAGCCGGAAAAATGACGTCAGAGGTCACTAGTCAGGTGCATTTTTTGGACACGAGATATAAATACATAATAACTCATTTACTCAGCTTTTAGAAAAGGAAATAACCTATGGGAAGCAGGAAAACAATGAAATAAATCTTAGCATTTCAAAGACAAGTTTTAAGATTTTAACCGGTAAGCGTCACGGCGATAATTTCCCCGCAGGCGTGACAAGCGCCCTCACGGGAGTGAGGGCTCAGGGCTCAGGGCCGCTCCGCTCTGGGCCCTGAGGCGGTGCGGGCGGAGATGCCGCACGGGCCTTCTCCTCTCATTGGCAGTTGTTTTTTAACTGCAATTTGCCTCTGGTTTTCTTTCCAATTTAGTGACCAAGGGGCCCCAATGCTGGCGTGCAAAGGTCGCCACAGCCGAACTAGCTTCCATGAGGACAGCCCGGCCCCACGGTCGGCGCGGAGCGAGGGCCGAGTCTGTGCGTGTGGCGGGGCCCTGGGCGCACCTCCTGGCGGCATCAGCGCGGGGCCTGCAGAGGGCTGCCCCCCCCCCCCGCTTCCCACCTCCCTGCAATGCCCTGGCGGAGGCAGAAAGGGAGCGGGACGCGCCGACGGGAGCCGCCCCAGCCGGGCGCCCTGTGATCATTGGCAACGGTCGGGTCACCGTGCCCCGCGAGCGCCGTGAGGAACACGTTCGTGCGCCTCTTTCAGGGTGACTTGTTCCACATGTCAAACGTCAGAAGATTTTACTGATGCTATTTCAGGTTTCTCCTAAGATCTAAATACCTGACATTAAAAAAATAAGATGCCCATTAATTTCTCACCTTCCTGTAGTACTCCAGGAAGCTGACTTCAGAGCCATCTGCTTTCTTAAAGGTGCTCTTTGGATTCTGATCCCAGTCAATATCATCCACTCTGTATGTTTTATTGTTATACCTAGGGAGCAGGAGATGGTAGCCTTCCATTAAAATGTGCAGAAACAACATTAACAGGAGACTGGGCTAAAAAGGATCACTGGGCACATGCAGTGGATGGAAAGCGAAGGCAAATTCCCTAAGTTTGATGGCAGATGGAGAGGGAGTTGACTCAATGATGAGGAAACCAAACTAGAAAGGATAAAAACCACTAGCTGTCTGTCCCGTTCAGATGGCTATGCACCCCAAACTTGGATTCTTCACAGCGGTTACGAGTCCCCTCCTCGCTGCGCACTCCTGCCGCCACCCCGCAGCGCCCCCGCCCCACCCGGCATCTCACTTGGTCAGGACGATCAGGCCGATCAGCTCCTTTGAGACTTGCTCCTGGAAGCGGTGCTCCTCCGTCTGGTGGTACAGGCTGAACATGAAGTCCAGCACGGTCTCGCTGCGCAGGACCTTGTGGCTGACGTCCGTGCACAGCATGATGTTGTTCTCGTACTGCAGGATGGACGTGGTGAAGCCGGGCCAGATCACCAGCCTGCGGGGGGTGGCTGTGAGGCGCCCGCCAGGCCCACCCTGGCCCGGCCCCCACCCAAAGCGGGAGCTGCTGCCTCTACTAACGGTGCCGGGTCTGTGAGCACATCTGTTCATTCCTGGGGTTGCCCACGTTTCCAGATAAAGACCCGCACTTCCCAGATTGCCAGCAGGTGATGTTATGGGGTGACAATTTTGTAAGTTCCATTTTAAATGGAAATTTACTATTTGGAACTTGGCCATTTTAGCAACTTGACTACAATTCCTTACACGGGCCTGTGACGTGAGAGTCGCCAACCCGACCGGGAGCATCTGTATTGATGAAAATAAACTGGAGCGCGGCAGCAGCGCGCCCGACCTGCTGCCACGACAGGGGCCTTAAAGGCGTCACCACGGCCTGCTGACTTTGTCAACATAAACAAAGTCCGTGTCGGGCAGCTCTCCGCGTGGCTGAGGAACAGGAACCTGCTCCTGCACACAAACCTGTGGTTCGGAATATCAATCGGGTCACTCGGGTTGTAATAATTCCGTCCAATTTGTTGCAAATTCATGATCTTCAGAAGCCTAGAAGTTGGAAAGTCAGAACAGAGAAGGCGAAGGTCAGGGCACAAAGTGACGAGCGCCGAGTCTGAAGCTGCGGCCGCAGCGGCACGCGGCTCGGCACAGGCCGGGAGCTCGGCCCTCGCGGGTCAACGCCTGCCTGACGCTCTGTCCTTGTGGGACTTAGGACCCAAGAGCGGTTTGTCCCATTTTTCAGAAGGTTGAAAAAATCGAAATATTAATGATGCGTGAACTGTACTAAATTTCAGTGTCCACCCATACAGTTTTATTGGGGCGCTGCCAGAACTCTCATCCGCGTGGTCTGTGGCTGCTTCTGTCCTCAGCAGCAGAGCTGAGTAGTCGGCTGTCTGGGCCTCTGCGGGGGAAGTCCGCCAGCCCCTCCTTTAGAGAAAAATCCGTCTCCTGATCGCACGAACTACAAACATCAAGAGGAATGTCCTCGCTACAGTGACTGTCCGACCAGCAGTGACGGACACCTCGCGACAAGCTCACGAGGGTCAGTCCCACAGCCAGCGACCGCGTCCCCATCCAGGCTGCTTTCACCCAGGAGAGGCGCCGAGCGCGTGTCCGTAGCTTGGACGTGGAGAACGTGGTGTTCACATGGAAATAACTGCTTCACACCGCACACACACAGTCAGCTCAAAATGGGTTTAAGACTGGAATCTCTGACCCAAGGCTCTAAAACACGCAGAATAAAGCTCAGGCGTCTGCTCCGGGACGGCGGCCTGAGAGCCAGCGTTGGGACGCGACGCCAACAAGGGAAGCAACCGCAGAGTAAGTGGCTGGGACCACGCCAAGCGCATGACATCCCCACGGCAGAGAACGCAGCGCACGATGAAAAGGCAGCTCACCGCGTGGGAGAGGTACTCGCAGCTCACACACGCAACAGGGGCAGCGTGCAGAGAGCTCACCCGACTCGACGGTGAGAAATCACCCCGCGAGCCACGGGCAGACCCAAACAGACAGGAGGACACCGGCGGCCGGAAAAGGCTCTCCTGAGCCCGTCATCAGGGCACGCGCGTCAAGCCACAGCTCTCGCCTTGTACGGGGGGGGGAAGTGGGCCACACCCGAGGCCAAGAAGCGACCGGCGCGGCATGGAGGGGACGAGCCCTGTGGGCGGGAACGTGACTGCGCGGCCACGGCGGAGAACGGCGTGGGGTTCCTTAAACAATTAAAAATAGACCGAGGCCACCTCTGGGCAGGCGCACTCGCAGCCCCCCGTCTGGAGGTGACGGGGGCAGATTCACAGCAGCCGGGCCAGGAGGGCCAGCAAGCGCCCCTGCCGGACTGCCGGAGAGAGAAGTGCGGTGCCGACGCCACGGACATCCCCTCTGCTCCGGCCGCGAGACCCTGCGTGTGCCCGCCGTGCGTGGGCCGGGAGGGGAGGGCTGCCCTGAAGTGGCCGGCGCGAGAGCAGCGACCCCGCTCCCAGGGGGCCCATAACACGAGAGCCGCGACCTTCGACTCAGGGTGAGCGGCGGGGGCCGGAGGCCGGCCCGTGGCGGAGGAAGAGCAGGTGGCTGACGGCCGCGGGGACGGACACCGAGAGGCGCGAGGGGGTGAGCCCGCAGCTTACACAGTAGCGAAAATGAAACAGCAAATCTTGACGCAGGCAGCCATGCTTTTGGGACGGCACTGGCCAAGGCAAGTCACCCTGGGCCCCGTCCCGCTTCCTGACACGCGCTACGGGGAGAGGCGCGTGTGGCCAGCGATAAAGGTAGGAGACGCGTCATCACCGCAAGCTCGACCCGCACTGGAAAGCCCAGACGTCAGCAGAAACACGGCCGCCGTGGCCGCTGCGCTGAGCGGGGGTCCGGCCAGGTGAGGAAGGCCTTTCCTTCCGCGCGCGGTTCTTTCAAACCTCCCGTCCGCTTTAAGCTTTCTTAAGCTGTAAGAGAAAGACACGCACCTTCTGAAAATAATGTTGTAGAACTGCAGACAGGTCGGCGACGTGGGCGGGAGCTCGTTCGTCAGGGTGATGGTTATCCGCACGTGCTCTCCGTTTCGGGTCTGACTGAAAACTTCGGTGACCTGGAGCCAGGGCAGGAGAAAGCCAAGCCGCGTGAAGGACGCCTGAGCTCGAGCACGTAAGGGCTGTTATCAAGGCCACGCGAGACCTGCAGAGAAGCAGGCTGAAGGGGCGGCCGTGAGCGCATCGGCGCCCGGATGTGACCGAGCTGCTCAGATGGGCCTGAGGACGGCACAGAAATGCCGAAGAGCCTTTCGGGCGCATTCCACGCCGTGTCGGGCGGGGAGCCAGGGTCTCTCCAGAAGCTGCCCCGAAGGGAACCTCTCCCGCCTCCTCTTCCCACTTGCCCTGACGTTGGAAATAACCTTGTGCTGTAGCCTTTTAGGCAAAAATAGGATCGTCCCATCAAAAGCGTGACACCTTCCAATCAGATCTTCATGTTGAAAAAGAAGGGCCGAGCGGAGTCTCCTGGCTTCCATCAGCGGGTTGTAGTCAATGTGGTACTGGTACAGGGCCCACTGGGGGCGGGATGTCAGGCGAAAGTGGTTAGTGCTTAGCCTCACTATGATGCCCGAAGAACCTGGAAAAATAACCCGCAGCCGCTGAACACATGTCAAGTGCATTCCTTCTGGAGATCTCGGCTATCCCGTCAAGGCAGACACAGTCCTGGAAGCAAAAGACTAAGCGGCAGCAACCGTGGAAATCCTCAGACCCCTGACTCTGGAGACAGCAGTCCCTGGCGCGAGAGGCGTGTGTGGAGATGAGCCCCGAGTGACGCGCAGCAGAGCCAGAGCGACCCCTTGGGGCTCTAAAGTGATTGACGTGACTTCGGTCCCACAGCCACCGCGGCAGACATGTCGGGCGCCTGCCGTCTGGGCCGACAAGGAGAGGAGTGCAGGCAGGGCCCTGGGCGCGGGCGCTCCCCGTCACGCACATGGCGTGTCACGAGACCGAGCTCTCAAAACGGACCTACCTGTTTTTGATTCTTTGACATGGTCTAGGTTCTGTCTGGTGTTCACACCAAGATCATGGAAGTCTCTTCGACGACCTCCTCGCTCTCCTAATGATAACTCCTGGAACCCAGCAGATATCTGGAGGTCTTAAAAAAGAGAAGTTGTGCACTTGATATAAGACAAAGTGCGGCGACGTTATGATATTAATTCCCGAAGTCCTACTATGTGAAACCCAAAAGCTCTTGATGTAGTAAATATATAAAAACCCCATCAGAATATTTTAAGTATCCACCAGCCAGAGAAAGTAAATAATGGCTGTAACATCTTCCACGCAACCCTTGTCACTGCCTCAGACAAACCCAGCCGCCCCGTCAGGAGACACGCGCGCCTGTGGGGGATAAGGCAGTGGCTGCGGGGCATGCTGACCGCGAGACCATTTCCTGTGCTAAGTCTGATAAAACCAGAGCCTTCATTACAGGCATCGCCACAATTTTCCTGATGCCATCAGTTACCGGATTCGGCCGCTGACGGAGTCTAAGGTCTACTCTGAATTAGGAAACTTGTCCAAGTGGAATGTTTGCAGCCATCCCTCCCTTGAGAGCTGCGGGGGCGGGGTGGGGTGTCCTGGGCGCATCTCGCGCCACGACTCAGGCCCAGTGTTGGGACGGGTCCGCAATGCTTCCCGCGTGATTACACGCCTGCGGCGGCCTCCCAGATGGCCCCGAGCTCTTCTTCAGTTTGAGGAAAAGAACCTTCTCCTCTCAGCAGCAGGACACGGGCCAAAGAGCTTACACGGGCTGTGGAGCAAGTCCGGGCTTCGGCTAGTCGGGAGGCTCACTCTGTCTAGCCGAGGCTGTCAACTGCCCGATAACCAACTTCTCAGTCTTTAAAAAAATACCACGGCGGGGAACGCACCTCACAGACCAGAACCCCCACCTTCTCTGCGGCGAGGGATGGCCAGAGAGAGTCGAGCAGACATGCGTACGGACGCACTGCTGGGAGACCCTCGGGGGTCCGTGGCTGGCCGCTATGCTCCCCACGCCGAGCGGCTCACGCTGCCCCCGCTCGGACAGGCGTTCTGAATCACACGGGGGCCTCGATGAAAGCCACAGACTCAGGATGATAAAAAAACCAAGATCAAAGATCCACGTCTCTTCTGACCACAGACACCAGCTGGCCCCCACGGCCGCCTCTGGGGCCCAGGAGAGCAACCTTGGCTTCCACGGCAGGACGGCTCCCGACGTACCTTGAACACAGGTTACCTCACTGAAAGCGTCCATTTCTTCAGGTGGGAAGCTGGGGATACCAGGGCCAGCAGGGCCGGCCAGTCTCACGGGAGACCCTTACGCATAAAGCGCTTTAAAGACGCTGAACACGGTGGTTCGGCGGGTCCCGGCCCCCCTGACTTGCAAGCCTTCTCTTGAAAAATCCGTCAACTACGGACCGGACCGGACCGTCTCCGTGAACTTTTCACCCCTGACCAGCTGCCAGCGCCCGCGGCGTGGGGCGGGGATGCTGACAGGGCACAGGTGTGCGGATTCCACGGGACAGCAGCGAGGAGTCAGGAGAGGCTTGATTTGAAAATTTCCCTGAAAAATCTTAAAGTTTGTTTTAACAAAATCAGTGGCGGGTCAGCAAGCCCGGCTGCGGGCTGTGGGCTCCGGGGCTGAGCAGCGGCGGTGTCCCGCTGTTTCCTTTCACCAGGCCGCGGCTCCCGGCCATGCACAGACCCGCCTCCCGGGCGCGCGCAGCAGAGGCCCCGGGACAGGAAACGCCGCGGGTCTTGCCGGGGCTCCGCGACGCTCCCCGGCACCCGCCGGCCACGGAGGGGAAGCCGCGCACCGGCGCCGGCTCTGGAGCAGCGGCCGCGCGCTGACCAGCGCCCCCGGGCGGGGGCGGCCAAGCGGGGCGCACCCCTCGCGCGGCGGGGTTGCGTGACAAGGACCCGCATTCAGGGCAGGCGCCCGGCAGGCGATCGCGCTGGAGACAACGCGCCGGTGACGACAGAGGCCGTCCAAGGAACGAGCCGTCACGTTTCCAGAAAGCGAGGCGCGCTCACGCCGCAAGGCCCGGGGAGCCCCTCGGACGGCCGGGCCGCGGGTCCTCCCGGCGCTGCCCCCCCCCGCCTCCCCAGGGCCGCGGCCCGCCCGGGCGCGACGGGACGGGACGGGACGGGACTGACGCGCCGCCGGACCGGACACGGGCGAGTCTGCCGCCCGCGCCCCCGCCCGCCCCGCGCCCCCGCCCGCCTCACCTGGCGCCTTGGCTGCGGCTCCCGCGGGGCCGCGCTGCCGCCCTCGGCCGACCAGCTCCCCCTCCGCCGGCGGCTGCGCGGGGCGCGGCGGGGCGCCCGGGGGCTGGCTCTGCAGGCCCTGCGGGGAGGCGGGGCCGCGGGTGAGCGGAGCCCCCGGCCCGGACCCCCGCCCCCCCCCCGCCCCCCGCACTCACCGCGGCGGCGCCCACGTGCTGCGCCGGCTCCTGGCCCCGCGCGCGGCCTCGCGCCCTGGCTCTGGCCCGCCCGGTCATGGCGCCTGCGGGAGCGTGGGGCGGCGCGAGCGGGGCGTGGGGCGTGGGGCCTCGCCTGGCCCGCAGCCCGCCGCGAGGGGCCGCGCCCGCACCCCAAACCCGGGCTGCCCGCCCGCGCCCCCGGCCGGCCCGGGGCCCGCGCGCCCGCGGCTCGCCCGAGACGGAGCGGACCAGCGCCGGCCGGGGCGGGAGGGAAGGGGGGCGGGAGGCGGGGCGGCAGGGCGCCCCAGCCCGGCCCGGCGCCGGAGGGGCCGCCCCGGGAGCGGCGGCCGCGGGGGCGGGCACGCCCCCCCCCTCTGCTCCGAGGCGCTCCCCGGGGGCGGCCCCGGCCCGCCGCCCGCCGCCCGCCCCCCGCAGCACGTCGGCGGAGCCGCCCCCGCCGGGCGCTGCGCCCCACGCCCGCCTCACCGCCCGCCGCCGCCGCTGCCCACCTCCCGGCCGCGCGGCCCCGCCGTCCAGGCGCCGCCTCACCGCCCGCCGGCGCCGCGCACACTGCCCGGCCGTTGGGATCCCTCCGCCCGCGCCCGCGCCCGCGCCGCGGAGGGACACGCCGCGCCCGCGCGGCCAACGGGCCGGACACGCGGCCGCGCCCACGGTGCGCGCTGAGGGCGCTTCCCCGTGCCGGCGACCCCGCCCCGCGCCGGCTCCCCCCCGCGGCACCCCCCCCCACCGCGGCGCGCCGGCCCCCCGCCCCGCCCCGCGCCGGCCCCCCAGCCCCGCGCCCCGCGCCGGCTCCCCCCCGCGGCGCTCCCCCCACCGCGGCGCGCCGGCCCCCCCCCCCCCGCGCGCCGGCTCCCCCCCGCGGCGCCCCCTCCCCCGCGGCGCGCCGGCCCCCCCCCACCGCCCCGCGCCGGCCCCCCAGCCCCGCGCCGCCCCCCCCCCCCCGCGCAGGCCTCCCCCCCAGCACCGTCCCCCACGCCGGCTCCTCCCCCCCGCGCCGGCCCCCCATCCCGCGCAGGTCCCCTCCTCCGCGCCGGACCCCTCTCCCCGCGCCGGGACCCCCCCCCCCCCGCCGGTCCCCGCCCTCCGCTCCGCCCCCCACCCCGCGCCGACCCTCGTCCCCCGCGCCCGGCCCGCCGTCCCGGGCCCTCGCAGTCGCGGCCCGCACGCGTGGCTGGACGGCGCGGGGCGGCCGCGGGAGGCGGCAACTGGACGTGGTTTGGCGCCTCAGCAACGCGACGAAGAGCCGCGCGCCCCGGGGCGCCTCCCTGCCCGCAGCCGCGTCGGAGCACCCCGGGCCGGGTGGCCGCGGGGCGGGGCGCGGCGCCTCAGGCGGGGGTGGGGGGGAGGGGGGCCGCGGGCGTCGTGGGGCGCAGCGCCTCAGGCTGGTGGGGGGCCCACGGGGGCCGTGGGGCGCGCGCCTCTGGCGGGTGGGGTGCTCACGGGGGTCGTGGGGCGCGCGCCTCAGGCGGGTGGGGTCCCGCGGGCGTCGTGGGGCGCGCGCCTCAGGTGGGGTGAGGGGCCCGCGGGCGTCGTGGGGCGCGGCACCTCAGGCGTGTGGGGGGCCCGCGGGGGTCGTGGGGCGCGGCACCTCAGGCGGGTGGGGGGCCCGCGGGGGTCGTGGGGCGTGGCACCTCAGGCGGGGTGGGGGGCCGCGGGGGTCGTGGGGCGCGGCTCCTCAGGCGGGTGGGGGGCCCGCAGGGGTCGTGGGGCGGGCGGGGCTGTGGCCGCTTCCGAACGTGTTTGCACCCCGCGTGATGTTCGTAGCCCCGGGGGCGTGACGGGGCGGGACACCCCCCAGCCCCCGCCCCCGCCCCGTGGCTCCCAGTCTCCTCTTGGGGGGACCGCGAGGTCAGCGTTTCCTACTCCAGGGGACCCGCGAGGAGAGGCGGGAGGGGGAGCAGGAGTTTCCTGGAGACCCGAGGTGACTCTAGGCCCGGAGACGGGGGACTCTGAGGCGCCCCCCGTTGCGCGGCCTGCGGGGGGCGCGGAGTGGACGCCGCTGCCCCGCGGCCGGCAGGGGGAGCCGTGGAGCCGGGAGGAGCCGCGGCCGCGGACACGGAAGGGGCACGAGCCTCCCCCGGCTTCCCCAGGGACACCCCATCACCCCAAGGGCCCCCCTGTGCCCCCGGGGAACCCATGCTGAGGTAACAGCCCCGCCCCCCGCCCCCGGGCAGCCGGGCCTCCAGCGCTCACCCGGAAGCAGCGCGGGCCACGCAGAAGCGGGGAGCATGGACTGGGGGTGTTCTGTGGACAAGCGGGGAGCATGGACTCAGGGGTGTTCTGTGGACAAGCGGGGAGCATGGACTGGGGGTGTTCTGTGGACAAGCGGGGAGCATGGACTGGGGGTGTTCTGTGGACAAGCGGGGAGCATGGACTCAGGGGTGTTCTGTGGACAAGCGGGGAGCATGGACTGGGGGTGTTCTGTGGACAAGCGGGGAGCATGGACTCAGGGGTGTTCTGTGGACAAGCGGGGAGCATGGATTCGGGGGTGTTCTGGGGACGCCGCTGGGCACCTGGGGGCTTCCGGTCTCGGGCTTTGGGTCTGGGCTGCGGGCGCCTGCAGAAAGCCACGGGGATGGGGACAGGGCCCTGGGACATCCCTGGAGGCGGGGCTGAGGCTGCAGCCCCCCAGGACTTGGCGGGGCGGGTGGCAGGGCTTTGTGGGGTGGAAGGGGGTGCATGGCGGCCGGCAGGGGCGCAGGGGAGCTGGAGGACAGGGCAGGAGGGCGGTTCAGGGACTTGGGCCAGCGCCACAGGAGCACAGATGGGGATGGCAGGTGGCACGCTGAGGGGACACACCCCGTTCCAGCCGAGCGACAGGAAGAACCTCCGCAGGAGCTGAGCGGGGGTCGCCCCTGCGTGCAGGGCAGAGGGCAGTGGGTCACTGGACCCCGGACGGCCAGGTAGACGGGGCAGGAGCAGCCGCCTCGCCAGGAGAGAGCCAGGCGGGCCTGCGACGTGACATGTTTCGCCCCTGCTGTCGGCTGTGTCATCGGGGCGCACCTCAGGGACAGCGAAGGGATGCTGTCCAGGGCCAGGTCAGGGCACCTGCCACTTCCATGGGGCCGTGCGCCCCCCTCCTCTGAAACACATCCTCGCAGCAAGCCGGGGCCCAGGCCGCGGGCACCCGCCCCGCCCTGCCCCTGTCCTGGCCACACGCCGGCCGCCCTTCTCTGTCCGCCGCGGCTGGAAGGGGCACGCCCCTCCGGGCTGCCCCGCGCGTGTGAGCCGACCAGTCCCCGAGCGGAAGTGGCCCTTCGAGCTGTGCAGAGTTTGTTTACGCGTCTGTTTGGTGAAGCAACACTCGGCGTCGCGCGGCGCCCGCCGCCCCCACCGTAAGTGTGGAAGCTCGCTGGCGAGCGCCTCCTCCCCGTCCACCGCCGGCCCCGCCGGCCCTGTCGTCCAAGGCCCGTTTTCTGTTTTCCTTGACGGCGCCTTCGTTCTGTTCTCTCTTCCTCCGCGAGTGACGTCCTGTTTCTCCGGCTCATTTCCCTCAGCCTCCCCCTCTCCAGGCCTCCCCCGTTGCTGCAAGTGGCAGCTCACCTGTTGCTGCTGCTTACGCGGCCCGGCCCGGGGCTGCTGGTGGGAGTGAGAGTGGAGACGGCGTCTCGGAGGCCCGCACCTGCGGCCGCCCAGCGCTGTGTGCCGCAGCCGGGCCTGGCGGCCCAGGTGCCCACCGGCCTCTGCGCGTGTGGCCATGGGCCTGCGCGTCCGCGGGGGGCGATGTGTCATCCCGGCCTGTCTCCTTGTTTACCTGTCGGTGCCCGGAAACCCCGGCCGTCTTTGCGCCGATTCTTTGCATTCACAGAGCAAAAAACCAAGCCCTTGCTCTTGCGGGCACGCCGGGGGCTGCTGAACTCCGTGCTGTGACGCCTGTGTTCCGGAGGGCTGGCGGGTGGCGGCCATGGCGGTATGTGTCCCGGTCGGGGAGGGTCTCTTCTGCAGACCAGAGGGTGTAACTTTGAGGTGATGTGTACAGTGCGGGGCGCAGAGCTTGGGTCAAGGCCACAAGGTCAGTAGTTTTCACCTGAGGACACCTGGGGGTTGTGGGGCCCAGACCACGGATGTGTATGCAATTTCCCACAAAGAATTGGGGTGTTTGGAGCATAGTGACGCCCTGGACTAGACCCTGACTGCGGGCTGGACTGACCACTGGCTGTTTTTGCCTGGCCTCTACCCGCGACCCTGCTGGGGGCGGGACACATGCCGTGGAAGGGCCTGGGGCTTTGTCCAGGAGCTGGTGTGTGCGGCAGACTCTGTGGTTCCGAAGAGTTTCCTGCGCTTGGCTGGTTTTGGGGGTCTGGCAGATTCAGGACACGGAGGCCTGGCCCTCCTGAGCCGGGCGGGGTGGCGCCCGTAGCCGCGGCTCAGTGCACGCTGTTCAATGAGTGACCACTTGCGCAGGCAGCCAGGACGGGCGACCGCCCCCGGTCTAGTCCTGTTAAAATAGGTCACTCCGGCCTCCTAGGAGAGCATGAAAATTCGGGCCCTAGAACCTGGCAGGTCAGGGCAGTTCCTTTGTTTTCACGCTGGAGGAGTGATGCGCGCAGGGAGCTCTGCGGGAGCAGTAGCTGCGTGAGGATGGGGGTGATTCCACCTCACGTGGGCTGGGGTTTATCCTCATACCCCACGGGGGTCGCTGAGGCAAATCGGGCACGTGAACATCAAGATGGAAGTGACGGGCTTCATGTCCGAAAGAGAACCAGCCGTGGCGAGCGGACGCGGCGCTCTCCGTGAGGCGCTGGCCGCGGTCTGAGTCGGCCTCTGTTTGCAAACTCGCCGTCGGGGCTGACCCTTGCTGCCGTGGACAGTTAAAACCAGTCAGATGGCTGCGGGAAGCAGACCTCCCACGCTCCACTCCGCGCCCAGTCAGGAGAGTCGCGCTTCCATTTAATTCTGATTAGCCCCTTGTGTTATTTAAAGTGGCCGAAATAAATAACCTGTCACTGGAAGTCTGGGGGGCAGAGGCGGGGGCCCCTCTTCAGGACAGCCGTGCTGGCAGCCGAGTCCCCTGTTTTCCCCCGTTTGTGTGTTTTCGGTTGCTGTCGCCGCCGGCC